AAATGATTAAAAACGATTGTACTGACGACTCTGCAATTAAATACTACTGGTTGGGAATTTAGATACTATTTGCATGGCGCCCTACTTGGTGAAAGATGTCACTTTTACTCAAATCGTTTTAATCTTTTTGGTAATCAAAGTACGGTGCGATCATTCACTCATTATACAGGCTTTCATACAATTTTATGTGAAAATGAAAAAGGACACGATCAGTAACGGCTCATCAGACGCACTTATTTATTTTACCAGTTTAATTTTATAAAATAAGCGACGTGCATCTTGCATTGATTATTTCAATTTCAATGTTAATCTATTTTTTTTTTAAACACATAATAATCACAATTCAGAATGAATACATACAAACAATATATTGGAAGGACCTCTACTGAAGCAAAGTTTATTGGGAGGGGTCCTGTACAAATATAAGAAATAAATGAACATAAATGAAATTGGAATACAATAATTCAACAGACAATAGTAATAAAAGCAAAGAGAAATACCTACATACTACCATTCATTTCATTCTGATGATTAGTTAAAGCATTTTGGAGTGTGAAATACATTTTCTGGCTGATGATAAAAAATTATACATTTCAGAGTTGGAAACCAAATTGTGCAAATTGATATCATTAAATATCTCACAGTAATTACGATTGGCATAATGGCAGTATAAACATACGGGAATTGACGTAATATATATATTCAAATATATACATATATATATAGGCGTGAAGAAAATGGTCTGGGAAATTGAGACGTAGCTGTACTTTACAAGTTTATTACGAGCTTTCGGCTTGTGAGGCCTTCTTCAGGTTCTGAAGTACAAACGCATACAAAAACAAATACATTGTATGAGCAAATATATATATATATATATATATATATATATACTGACTTATATACTGATATGTGAATATCTAAGGACTTAGAAAGTGTATGCGTGGGGAGGGGATAGGCCTGTATAAACTCCAATGTTCGGAGATGGAGATGTTTCTGTGGAAAATGAAATACTAAAATGCATGTAAACTTTATCTTGGAATCGTTGAATGCAATGAGACTCCTCATACAAAACACTATATACAAAAAGCAAAATACGAGATGAAAATCTCAAGAGTAGGCAGACAATGCCTTTCTTTAAAAAGTGTGGGGACACTAGTGTGTCGTATACGATACATACTATAGAAATGATCCCTAAAGTTTGATTTAGCCACTAAATGACGATAAAAATGATACATTTCAGAGTTGGAAACCAAATTGTACAAATCGATATAATATAAATACCTCACAGTAATACCGATTGGCATAACGACAGTATAAACACAGATAAGGAAATGTACGTAATATATATTTGTAATATATATGCTGAGTTATAATATACTGATATGTGAATATCCAAGGGCTTAGATAGTGTATGCGTGGGAAGGGGATAGGCCTATAAACTCCAATGTTGAGTTGGAGATGTTTCTATGGAAAATAACTTACTAAAATGCATGTAAACTCTATCTTGGAATCGTTGAAAGCAATCAGACTCCTCATACAAAAAACTATTTACAAAAAGCAAAATACGACATGAAAATCTTTGTGATAGTATTTCTCACTCAATACCACAGCTCAGTGAGCTCACTGTCGTTTTTCATACCAAATTGAGCTTCACTACTGAATGCAGCCACTTAGCTTACATTTTACTCATCATGTGACCCAATTACATCTTATTTTAGTGTTTGTAGCAAAGAGAGAGAGAGAGAGAGAAAGATATATATATATATATATATAGAGAGAGAGAGAGAGAGAGAGAGAGAGAGAGAGAGAGAGAGAGAGCGAGAAAGAGAGAGAGAGATAGAGAGAGAAAGAGAGAGAGAGAGAGTAGAGAGAGAGAGAGAGAGAGGGAAAGAGAGAGAGAGAGAGTAGAGAGAGAGAGGGAGAGAGAGAGAGAGAGAGAGAGAGAGAGAGAGAGGGAGAGAGAGAACAAACTCTGAAAATCGATTCGGTAAGTTTGCACGTGCCGTCAAGAAAACAAATCGATTTATATGAGCACCGTGTACTTAGCTAAAAACGCGAGAAATCTTTCAGTCTCGATTTGGGGGAGGGAAGAATTTTTTTGTTGTTGTTGAATGAATTTTTTGTGTAAAAAAAAACACGGCCCTGCATCTTTTTGCAGCTACAAGGACAGGCGCTCGAAGAAGTGTACATGAATTCTATTTTACAGATATACCATATACATGAAAGAAAATTGCTTATCATTATTTGCAAAAACTTTGTTATTATTTTTATTTTTGCGAAATTTCTGAAAAATATTATAGATACGCAAACACGTTGCTTTGAATGTTTATGTTTTTTGATGGGAGTTGAGAGATCATCACGGAGCGACTTTTAAACCTATATATTTTTATGTTTATTTCTTTCATTAATTTATCATGATTTGTGTTGTTAGGTATGGGAATAATATATGACGATTTATAATCTTTAAACCGCTACAATTAACCTAATCAATTTACATCGAAGGTGCATATACTGTGTATAAGATGAACTAGATAATGATGTGGAGTATAGGCGGTGACATAGTGAGAGGAAACACATGGGTACAAAATAGGCTACTTCATTTGAATTGTGGAAAATAAGAAAAAAATGGACAGGAAAATAAAAAAAGATAATCTCCTCCCATACCCTCACCCTTGCCTGTGGCCTTGTTAATCATCGACTCCAGCCACCCCCCCCCCCCCTTCATTACCCAGTGCCCCCTCTTTAACTGTACCCATGCTGCGCCACTGAGCAAACGAATGTGTTATATTGAATGTCAACCATAGCTGGTTGGATGACTGGTTGTCATCATGGAATGAATCCTCAAGCCTTTTGTTTTGGGTTTGGAAAGTGAACTTGACTCCAAAGGGGAAGGACGAACCATCAATCGACCAACATTAATTATTGATTTAGACGATATTTGCTCAAATGCTCAAGTGTATTTGGGGCCAATGGAAGAGGATGACAAGGTCTTGAAAAGCGATAATGAGAACAAAAAGGGGGAAAGTGAAAAAAAGCAAGACTGAGAGAGAGAGAGAGAGAGAGAGAGAGAGAGAGAGAGAGAGAGAGAGAGAGAGAGAGAGAGAGAGAGAGAGAGGGGGGGGGGGGGGGAGAAGAGAATATGAGACTAAGAAGGTAGATATAGGAGGGGAAGGACGAAGAGAAATTGATCGACCAAATTGCGCTGAACATTACTTATAGGCGATATTTACTCAAATACTCGAATGTATTTGGGGTCTTGAAAACTAAAGGATAGATGAAATACGATATGAACGTCGTCACAGAGGTTGTGAGGAAGAGAAAGAATAAGAAAAGGAGGGGGAAATATTATGAGTTGATATAGAATGAGAGAGAAAGAGAGAGAGAGAGGGAGAAAGAAAGAGAGGAGAGAGAGAGAAATGGGCAGGGGTGTGGGCGGAGAAAAAGAACAGAAAAGAGAGAAAGAGAGAGAGAAAAAAAACAGAGAGAGAGAGAGACAGGCAGACAGACAAACACAGACGGACAGACAAATATAGAGAAATAAAAGGGCTAGACAGAGATCTACAGCTAGTACGACCCAATCTCAGATTGATGCTTTAATTAATCCGAATGGCACCAAGTTCAATATCACGGTATAACACGTGCCCGTCCTGTCATACCCTGATACCCATATCTAATTCCCGAGGCATTCGGGTACACATGGAGGGTAAACAAAGCGACTGGAATTAATACGTCAGTCACACCAGGAAGATAAACTCTCATCTCTCTGGTCACACCAACGAGAGCGACATCGGACCGACGACAGACCGAATAACAAATTAACATTACCCCCAAAGGACTAGAGTCGTTCGGTTTGAGAATCGGTATGGAGTCGGTTTGGTTCGGAGGTGTGACTGAGGTATGAAACAAATGATTTTGAGACCACATCAATAATGATTACATCTTTGTGACCATGAATCCCGATGATTCGTTAGAAGAGGCGAGGGGCACTATGATTACTGGACAAGGAGATGTTAGACTAGCCTAATATTTGTAAAGGAAATAATGTATGATGTATCGATTGCTTGGTCATGGCAATCAAATGAAGTGACTTAAGACAATTTGACGTCTAACCAAAATTCTGTATTTATCTTTGTTTTCATAATCTTTGTTTCTTACGTATTTTTCGTTTTAACTTAATTGAGTCGGTAAATATTTTATAAACCGTACATTGTTTTTATTGTGCAGGGCCCTCGGCAGTTAGGAGATACCATTATGTTAACTGAAGTGGCAACCCTGCTTAAATAAATCTGTAAATAAATAAATATAGATATATATATACTGTTATAGTGCCTAATTATTTTATCTCTTGAGACCTTGATTGTCAATTGTAAGTTAGGTGAGTATGATTTTCGTCTGGAGCTATTATAAGACATTGATTGTTGCTTTATTTTATTTGCCCTTTGTTTTTTTGCTACTGTAGTTACACATGTATATATTTTCATAATACACATGTATATAGTTATACATCTATTCATAAGTGTAACTTCGTGATGATCCGCCACTCTTCCATAATTTCTTGTGATCTTATTTACAAAATACTTGACCATTTTGCTATCATTTTCATATATTTCTCGATATTTACATGTATCTTGATGAGAGTAATATATGAAACGAATTTCAATTCCCTCGTCCAATTATGCCTTTTCTACTTTTTATGTACATGCAACCCCACTTTCCCATCATCCTCATCTCCCCTTACTTTTCTCTCACCCTCTCTCTTTCTTTCTCTCTCTCTCTCTCTCTCTCTCTCTCTCTCTCTCTCTTGCCAGTTGCCAACCCCTTCTCTCCTTCTTCCCTGTTATGGTGGGGGGGGGGGGGTGGTAAAAGCTCAGGCTTTTATTTTTTGTTTGCCACTGTGTCTCTCTGTTTGTAGAATTAAAGAAATAATCTTATTCAACAAATGATAGTTATTCATATGATTTAATACATTTTCATTCAAATGAATAATACATGTACATTTATTTCATTTGTATGTTTTTCTATTATTACCAATTTTCACACAGTGAATTCCACAAGTTATTAAACAAAAGCTTCAAAATATATCTTTCTATAATAACCTCAGAAATTCAAATGAATGTAATAAGCAAACCGAGTTGAATTGAGGTGACGTGATGTATATTCTGATATTCAATTCGCTTCTTCAATTTAACATTAACTCTGCTTTTATAAACAAAATGCGTTCAATAAAAAAGTTTGTGATAATGAAAAAATGAACATAACATATAGTTTTACAGTGACATTACAAAAGGTTTATCACTGGCCCTCCATTCCCTCCAACCCCCCGTCAGGAGCCAAAATACAGTAAAAGAACAAACAAAAGATGAAAAAAATCCTATGAATTAAATTGAATTAGGGAAGGCCTGTCTATACTATTGAAACGAAATGCCTCACGGACATTAATTTTTTATGAAGTTTCAATGATTTGAAATATATATGCTAATGGATCATGAAGGACAGCTTCAAGGTGGCATGAAACCACTCTGTTTCTCACTCTCTCTGTTATAACATGTATTTTTAATGTTATCAATTTATTTTCAATGTCATTTCCATTATCCACAAAGTGCATAAAGCACTTGCAATAGAATTGCATGCAACTATATATATATATATACCACAATAAAGCTTTCAAGCTAATATGAATTAACTGGTAATCCAAATTTCAACCTTGTTCTTGTTCTAGATGAAATTCATAAAAGGTACAACCCATATTTTGTTTATAACCTAAAAATATCTTTGCTTCATAAATAAAACATTGCTCGATTTCTATGCCCTTCGTGCCCCAATTCTAAATAATTTTATCAACCAACTGCATATTCCAACAGGATCAATTTGAAATACAAAGTGGCATTCTGCAAGATCTTTCTAGAAAGGGCATCCAGGAGAGGCAATGAAAGTGGTCACTATAGACAGGTTCTACACCGTTTTGTTCTTTCTTTTGCATCAATTATTCCATACTTTGCGGTTTGGCTAAATAACTTTGGATTCAGAGCCCAGCAAAAATGTGCCAGATACATGATTAGAAAGGGGAAAAAAGAATGTCTGCATAATTATACTGCATCCAATTTTTGTCTTGCGTTTGATGTCAGGAATTTTAAAAAGGAATATAAGACTTGAGATCCTTCAATTGGCAACACATTGAAAAATTCAAAATCATTGTATTTTTGATCAAAATTGGCAATTTTTTTACCACATTCCTGCCCATGTATATCGTTTTCAGAGACAAAACATTTCATTTCAACAATGTAGCACTAAAAGATCAAAATAATATTGTTGCCAATTTAAGGGATAGTATGTGATCTATTTAGCCCTAAAATAAATTATGTCCTGAAAAGGTTAAGTGAAAAACATTTACATGTGAGTAGTCCCTATATATTGGCGGCCTCTTGTAATCAGGTGGCAACATGAAATCTTATAGTGCATAAAGATACATTGATATGAATAAGCATTCTACATGAACATAACCACAAACAAAAAATAGCAAAAATATATATCTTCTTCATATTTTGAGATCACAAATGTAATCTCGTATTATGTCTCCCAGAAAGCAGAAGGTTGCTAACTCATGAGTCAATGCCCTTCTGGGTCTCAGCAGACAAATTCATATAATATTTTGTTCAATCTATTTTAATAGAGATTTCTGAATACTTCTTTGGCATTTCATACATAGCTAGGCATATCCTGTTCACACTCGTCCTGTACAGCACCACGGCCTCGGAGGCAAACACTACGATGTCCTGGGGCACGAAGGGTCGCGACACCAGATTCAGACTCTGACTTCTGGATGATCTCCCCATCACAAAGCCGGAGGAGCAGACGATCTCGATGTCGATGTCCTCGCTCTCGATGGCGTCGTCGATGTCGGAGACGTTCCAGACGAGGAGCTGGCCGTCCCACCCAGCCGAGAGCAGGTAAGCTCCGGAGTGAGCAAAGGCTAAGGCTCCCACGAAGGACTTGTGCCCTGCATGGGTAGAATGAAATAAACTGACTTATAATCTTGAAGAGATTAAGTTTTGCCATATCTTTTTATAACTAAAATGAGATACCTACAAGGAAATGAGCAGTTCACAAAGTACCATATTTAAAAAAGAAAATTCCCTTAAAGTTTCTCAAGCATGGGTATATAGAGGGCGGCACACGAACGTATGCACGGGAGCGTAATACCCATTGGCTCATTGTTATGTAGTAATAGAGAGTGATCGCCAAGTTGTCTCCTTCAGGAATGACTACATACCCACGCATGAAACATCTTTAACTTAAAATTTTATTTCTAAATGAACTGCAGTACCTACAAAAATACCTAAATCCACAAAGTGCTCTGGAAATGGCTCCCAAAGATCTTAAATTCTAAAGTTCATTTCTTTTTATTCAAATTTTACAGTGCACCCCCAAGGTGAAATATTACATGAATATCAGCAATTCACAAAATACTTCAAAAGTACCCCCAAAATTCAGAACTTCAAAATCGAGGACAAAATTTTGGTTGAAATCCACCAGAGATGGCAGTATTTACAGGCAAAAAGAAAAGCAATGAGAGACCACCCTAAAGTGCCCAATGTGGTAAAATAGACAGTCACTGAAGTTCCCCCATTTTCTCAGTCTATTCTTTGTTTTGTCATCTTTTCTAATCGACTTATCTTCTTTGTTTTCTGAACTACGCGCATTAAACAACTATCGTGCCCAATTTTCAAGTTTTTAAGAATGCTGGTTTTGAATGAATTTGTCATTACTTGGCAAAGGCTTATAGCCGAAAGTTTGTATATCTCATACGGTTATTTCTTCTGCGCTTGTCTAAGAACTCTAGATTACCTTTAAGAACAGCACACTGATGAAATCCTTTCTTTGTTGGCCTTCTCGGTGATCTTGTGACTGAGAACATAGAGCACAGATATAAAGAAAGGTCTGGGTATCTTAAAACATATCAGAGTTCATAAACAAAATTGTTTCAATCTTACATAATAAATCAATTTTACAATGAAACGGAAGTAAATTATATCACTAGGGCATCAAGGTACATGTAACAAGACATGGATGAAAAGATGGTAAAAGATGAAGTAGCTACAATTCTAAGGGATTTGGATTCATTGATTCTCTTTTCTGACAATAACTTCCATTTTTTACAATACTTACACTTTGCTGTGTAGAAAAAAGGTCAACTTTCAAGTACTGCAATTGATCCTCTGAATTTAAAATCCAAATATTTACGGCTTATTATTATTCTTCTTTTAAATTGTACAATTCAATGCTTAGATAAGATAAGTTTGACCAATCAAACAGAGTTCTGTCTAAGTATAAGTGTGGGTACTTGTTGAGGGATGATTGGTACTACAAAGTTGAATAGCATTGAAAACGGTAGGCCATTTTTGTAATGTAATCAAATTTAATACACAAATCTTTGGTAAGTGCCTCGCTACAAATTATTACATTCACCTGATACAAATAATTGTATTTTTAAAAGTCAGAATGCGAATTGCATTAATTCCATGTTGCTATACAGAGTGAGTCAAAAAAAAGTTTACACCTAGCAAATGACTAATTATTTTAAAATTCATCTATGAACAGTAAATTATTATACATCTTATGACAGAGTGTTTTATCCCAAATCATTTGGTATCATTTTTGTGTTGTATGTGTTCACACTTGGATGAACATGAGGCATTGTTTGCGAGAGTGCAAAAATCGACTTCCGCCAAAGTGATGCGTACAGTATGTATTATATTAGGATTAATGGAGTGAGAGAATGAATTAAATGTAACAAATGAAATGCATTGCATATGCTTTTTGCGAAGGGCAAAGTCACACCACCAACACATACGCGCATAAATGTTCGTTGATATTTGATATTCAATATTTTATATGTGTGGCATGATTAATTTTGTTAGGGATGTTATTTGGATCTGCAAAGACCGAATTAATACCCAATTTCAAATTGTTTTATTCAAACATCACATACGCAACTTTGGCGGAAGTCGATTTTTGCACTCTCGCAAACAATGCCTCGTGTTCATCCAAGCGTGAACACATACCACACAAAAATGGTACCAAATGATTTGGGATAAAACACTCTTTCATAAGATGTATAATAATTTACTGTTCATAGATGATTTTTAAAATAATTAGCAATTGTCTAGGTGTAAACTTTTTTTGGACTCACTCTGTATAGGTAGGACAAGCCATAATGTTTGTCCTACCAAGCAAAAATTAACTTATGTGATTCCCATTCTGACTATTGAAATATAATTTTTTGTAACAAGTGACTGAAACAATTTGTAACAAGGGACTTACCAAAGATTTTGGCATTAAATCTGATTACCGGTACATTAGGAAAATGGTCTATTGAGACCTAATAAAGCTTGACTTACAGAAGTATTTAAGTGTTCCTCTGGAGGCCTGTGACGTAGGTTTCTTCATGTGAAACACAGTCACAAGGTCATCTTCACCACCAGCAACCAGTAGTCTAACAAGAGGAAAGAGAAAAGAAATAAAACAGAATAGGAATAGAAGTACTGGAATTATATAGCTGACTTCCATGACTTTCAATAAGTATTGAGGTTGTACAATAAGTACATGACCAACTCTCAACCCAAAACTTGGCCTTTTCGACAAAACATTTACATGTATCTCTCTTTAGCTAGGTATGGAAGATTGGTAACCTTTTCTCTAAATGTTCAGATCCCTATTCATGACAGCTATATGGGCTTCGGAACAAGGTGGTCCCTTGTTCAAAACTATTTAGGGAGAGCTAGTGTCTTTGGGTATCACCAGTCCTTAATTACAAACTGAAGTCTCAGTCTCAAACTGAATTACAGCCACAAACATCCAAGTCTCCCTTGCTAAGAAAGTTCAAATTGAATGCAAATCCAATGTACATGATTCTGATTGGTTGAAATTAAGGTGGATTTGACTTTAAGATTCAATTTAATCGCAAAGAGACCCCAGCTTTCCTTTTAACTTGCTTTGGTAGCACGCTAGGCCTACCATTTGTCAGATACTTACAATTTGGATGGATGCCATGCCATACACAGAACGGCACCATAGAGAATGGAGCAAGTAGAAAGGAGCTGAGGGCTGGGAGCGAATCCATGGTGAGACAAAGAGGTTCCAAGTCCTTTCTTGGTGTCAAATATGAGGACCTCGCTGTTCTGATGCCCTAAAGCTATATACCTGGAATAAGAGAAAATATTGGTAATGAAGTACAATTTATTGAATAATTTTACTTTAATAATGAATGAATTATTATGAACAATAATGACATAAATTAGCCAACTGCCACACTATTCACGTACATTAAACTTTATTTCACTTCTATATTTTGTGTACTGCTACATCTAAGTACCTGTCTTCATTTGAGCTATATTAAGAGTGAAAACTATATTACAGAATATAAACAATGAAATTGAAAAGTCCATTTGTATTCTGAAATTTCCCCTAAAGATAAAGGGTCAGGATTTGAGTTGCAAAAAAGTTTTAGGTTTGGTTCAGGGTTTAAAGGGGAAGTCCACCCTCATATTAAGTTGGGTTTAATAGAAGCAGACCCATGAGAGAAATAGGTCAGTGAAAGTTTAAGCAAAATCCAATTAAAAACAAGAAAGTTATGAATCTTTAAAAATGGGATCAATCTAGCACAAATTGGTGTTAAATATCGAGGCTACAAACAGTGTTAGAACCAGAGTTTAACTAGATGGAACTTCGACTGTGTGCAGTCGAAAATTATGCCTCCGCCATAGAGCGATTTTAACAAACCAAAACAGAACCAATTTTTCAAATTCAAGTTTAATTGTAATCCATTTATAACAGGTTTTCAGAATGTCGTGTTGACAAGCTGTTTTTCATATAAATGTATGACCCTTTTATCTTTGATCTCATGACCCTAAAATCTAATCAGTTCATTGGCTTTGCAAGATACATACTGGTACATGACCTAAGTTTAGCAGGAATCCGTCAATCGGTTCTTGAGATAACGCGCTCACGAGAACGGTACGTACGTACGGACGGACAACCCCAAAACATAATGCCTTCGGCTACTTCGTAACGGAGGCATACAAATTAGGAATTTGATTACAGTCACCAAAGTACATGTTGTAAAATAACTCCTTTTACTTGTAAAAATGATAGAAAAAAATTACTCTCAAAGATCGATTGGAATGAGAATGAACACAAAATACTTGCACATTTTATTCCATTGATAATTCATTCAGTGTTTTTGTTTTCTTTTTTACCTGTCATCCCCTGATATACAAATGGAAGTGACCCTAGACTTGTTTCCACTCTGTGTAATAACAGAAGATTCCATTGTCAATCCAGGGGAGTGTGAAAGTTTCCACAGGAGGGACAGACCACATGCATGCCCTGTGATTAAAGATTTCCCTGAATGGAACCATGCTATGCTGTAAGAGAAATGAAATCAAAATAAAACGAGACAAAAACATGAGACTTGAGAACAGAGATTTTATGATTGGTACAAATGCTTCATGATAAGCTTCAGCGTTGGTTAACAAATCCTATACTGGTCTAAAATGGTTTTAGCCGTGACCCGAATCTATTATCAACATTAATCAGAACTCTGTTGAATTCATGGAGAAATTCGAAAATAAATTTAAAGGCATAAATTTGCTTATGAAAAACAGTGTTCATTAGTCTGAAAATAAAATTGCATGATCTTTCACAAAGTATACAATGTATACATACATGCATGCATTTAAAATTTGCAAAGTAAAATACACAAACTATTACATGGTACAGATGTAGAATCCCTTCAATTCCAAAGTCGTCCATGAAACATGGCATAATATCTGACAAAACTGGGAACTATTACAACTCTACTGAGCGCATTTCTTTTAAGCATATAATTACATGAATCTGCTTAAAAATCTAAATATAAAAGTCTTGTTAGTGGCTTCTTAAACTCCATGAGGTGCATTCCTATGCTACAATCAATGTGAGCAAATCAATCTACTTATACATTACCATGTGCAAAGCCCTGTATCTTCTGGGAACTTAATTTCTACTAATTCTTCTGAGCCTTGTATCTTCAAAGTCCCGTCATCTGTACAGATTGCAAGAGCAGATTCTAACCAGGGAAGATCAATCGAAATGGGGAATTATAAGCAGCACGCATCACAACAAAACATACATTCATGTACTAAGCATCAATTTCCCATGTAAATGTATTGGGACTTCATAGCTGAGCATCCAAATGGTCACATCTTGTCCAGTTGTGACCTTGATGAAAATTTCAACTCTACATGAAGTAGTTAGTAAATCATGGCAACTCAATTTTATCAAATTATCAACACCTTCACAAAGAAGCAGAGAATAGCTCACTACAACTAACATTGCCTATTTGCGTAAGGAATTCAACTTTTTTAAAATTGTGACACAGCTTTCTTTTCCCCTTCAATGCCATTCTTCTCTCTAACAAACAATAAAATGCTTCAACTCATTATCTTTATGTCTTACCCTTAGTTTGATGAGACCATGAGAGAGCTGTGACCTCTGACCTCTGGTGATAGGCTGTCATGGCGTCACTGCCTAGTCTGGAGAGGCAGCGAGACAGTCTACCATCAGTATCCTCATCTTCTAAACCTTCAGTGTCACTGTCGATAGATAGAAAACACAACTAAATCAGGGATGCCAGTTAGAATTGATCACAAGGGCTGTAAATCACCTAGAATGAGCTATTTTATATGCAAAAAAGCCTAAATTATGGTCTGCAAATAACTTGCCAGAGCCTGAATTCAGGCAATTACCTGAAAACTGGCATCCCTGCTAAATTCTTCATGACACAATGTAAATGAAAAAACAGAAAATGCAAGAGAAAGAGAAACAGAGATGAAGAAAGGAAGAGGAGGAGAGGACAAAGAGAAAGGAAGAGATTGTAGTGTTAGGCCCCTTTCAAATAATGCAAAACACGCAAAATAAAAATGTCAATGCCTAGTTTTAAAAGGGAACATAAACCCTTACAAATCAACTTATTTTTTACAAGAGGGAGAGATTATGTTAGAAATGACAGATCACAATGTCATGTAGTTTGTCCGTCATCCCTCAAGTTAAGCACACTTAAAATATGCAACTAAAATCCCTTCCATTGAGTACATCCAGGATACATTTTAACTATTCTTTGTAAATATTGTACCTTTTAAAGTCCTTTTACCTTTCTGAAACAGGAGCACTTTTGCTTCCAAGCCTCCTCCTCTTTATCTTCTTCTTCACGTCGCCTACCAATCGTGACATCTTCCTCCCTCTCTTCTTTCCTCCTGTCGTCGTCTGATGGGCTTCATTCTCCTTCTCCTCGTCGCTCTCATCGTGGTCCCCGACACTGGACACAGATAGACGTCGACCAGGATGATGATGATGATGATGACCATGGTGGATAGTGAAGGTTGTATTGCTGATGTTTATAGTGTTACTATGGGGATCATCTCTGTGGCTGAGTTTTGTTGCCGCTAGCAACAACTGTAATTGTGGATAAAATAGAAGACAGTCTCAACACATATCCACATACTAATGTAATTTTGATTTTAGTATAATATCTATGAATATACTTTGCCATTATGTTATCTTCTTCAAAGTAATCTTACTCTTGTGTTTTTTTTTCTTGCCTGCAAAGTATTTAGTATTCAGTATCTAAAATTTAAATCTGTTATGATAATGAAAAGCACACATCTTACTGTTTGTATTTTTAAATCAAAATTGTCATAAAATGACCAATGCCTTCACTACCATCATTCCAAAGCCTATACGTTTAAATATTCTTCAAGAACCCCTTTCTTTCCTGCACTCCTGGCTCAGACATTCTTAAGAAGAAAACAAAAGGAAAAAAAAAACATCTTTCGGGAAAATGGCTCCCACGACCCCCACTCTCCCTCTTCCCAACCTTCAATGCTGAGGCATTCTTGTTGGTATAATGTTGTACTTGATAGATGAAATTAACAGTTTCGACCTTTCACCAGATAATATTGAACATGTATGTATGTCTGGGGGGGGGGGGACGGTTGGACTATCTTTGCTGAACAAGTTAGCTGAAAATTTTCAAACAAGCAACAACAAAAAATACCCCTCTCCCCCCTGTTTGGCCAAGCATCTTTTGTTCCTTTTTACCTTATAGCTATTCTTGGTACCACCGTTTTGTAGACTGACGCCAACATTTCTAGGGTAGCCTGGAACGCTGGTTGCCAAGACGCTGACCATGCCTACCATCGTCAGATTGCTTACTTTCCGAGAATCAAGCTAAAAGATATCAATAAAAAAACATTTAAGAATATGTAATTAAATGTCTCTACATTTTCTTGGTGAACATCAAGAAAATATTATTTCTCAGATGTGTTAGTTAAACCAGCTCTCACTCAAGGGAGAAATACAGAAAAGATATTTTACATTCAAAATCTCACTTTTCATCTAAAATCTTAAACAAAATAAAAAACTACTTTGTAAATTAAAAATAGTGGGTGAAAGACTTGAAATTTGTTGTAAATACAATACTTGTTTCCAAATATGAAGAGGAACTACACACTCAGAAAGGACTTGTTCGTGACTTGGTGGTAGCAAAGGGTATACAGGAAATGAGAAGGGAAACTTGTTACCTGCTCTTGCTCTTTGTCCGTGTGGTGACGGTGATATTTGAGAGCATGGGAGCAACTCTGACATGCTAAGTTAGGAATGTGAGGAGCAACCAATCCTTCCCTGTATAAAAGAGAGGGTGAGAAAAAAGAAATGAGAGATATGTCAGAGATATGTAACAGATAGAATGGATAGATGGAACAGGGAAAAGCAGAACAGAATAAAATCAAGGGCAACTAGCCTGCAAAAAAGGTACCACCAAAAAGCATGTAGATTGTAGCTATCTGCAATATTGTCAGCCTACCAATATTATTGTCATTAGTAGAAATAACTGTGAAATAATATTTACATACTTGTATATGTCCACAACATCACAGAATGGTATGTATGCTTGCTCAACAGTAAAAGTTGAACTGTCAGCACTGAAACAAAGCACTATTCCTAGCCCGCCTGCCAAGGTTGCCTTGATATTTCCAAAACTCACATGTCAATATTGATAATATATGTGATGTTTCCTATAATGGAAAAACTAATATATATATATATATATTTATATTTTATGAATACTTTTTATTTTCAAATATTAGTGCAGCCTTAATAAGTTCCATCTTAGGTATAAGGTCTTATATCAATGTTTTCTACATTATACATTTTCCGTAGTGCCTTGATGCTCGAGTACAAATCAATCTGTGACACTTACGTAAATCCGAAATATTGATTACAGATTCTAGCCATGTCATCGAAGCAGAATCCCCTGCACTGACAGACGTTGGGATCGAGGAAAGGCACGTCCTCATCATGGTCAATGTTTGTAGGCTCCAGCCAAGCATTGAGAAAGGCATCATCATCAACATTGCTCTCCCGACCTATAGAACTCATCTGAAGTCAAAAGGGTTTCCGATTGGTTAAGTATTTGGTTAGAAAATGGTTTTCCTTGTGTTCTTTTCCTTGCACTATTGAGCATCTTGTAAAGTCTTTTCCTACATGTGCATTTTGCATGAATCTATCTTTAAATTTTTGAAAACAAATAGGTGAATTCACAGACAATTTGTGATGAACTTGGCTTAAAACAGTAAATTAAAACAATACATTTTGCCCAACAGGAACTTACCATAATGCTGTGTCATCCACACATTTTTTTTTAATTTTTATGAGAATCCCTTTGTGTTTTTCACTTTGGTCTTCTCGATCACCCATGTCAATACTTTTCAGGTATTTTGTAGTTTTATTTAAAGTGCTGAATAACTTTATCATGTTAGAAATGCAGAGCCACGATAAATGCTGTCATTGCTGCGATTGATTAACTTGTTAGTTCAACCTGCAGGAAAATAAATCCCTTATTATTTGACCACGATACTATACAAAATACATATGAATAGAAAATTATATTCTTTTCATGAAAAGTGGATTCAAAGACTTGTGTTAGTTGGTATTGATGGACTGTGCAATAACAAAATTCATTAAAATGAGCTCAAGAATATGAATAACCTGTTTATTTGGTGGAGGCACCGATGAGTGACATCTGAGGTTGCTAGATGCATCAAGCACCTCTGATATGAAGGCATCCAAGGCATCCGTTGGACGGTGGGTGTCGATCACATGGTTACAGGTAAAGCACTTCTTGCTTGTTTGGCTGTGAAAAAACAAAAAGAAAGATTAAAATAGATGAAACAGTTGTATTGGGTATCATATTGGAAACTTAAAAGCATACCGGTATTATCAGTAAATCTCTACTTATGGCTAAGAATGCTGACATCAAAGCTTATGAATATCAATTTGATAAGCTTGGAATGTAAGTGACCAAAACACAAACCTGACTTAAATCATCCTATTTTCCTCTCCCCATCATTCTACAAAGATATTACCGGTAAACAATACAAATAAAGTAGGATTAACCGGCACTACAATACTGCATCCACTATCCTACCTATCGAATGACTGTTGAAAACCAGCGCACTGCATTTCACAGCCAACACAGGCAGAGTCTGCTGCCCTCTCTAGGTTATGCTTCTTTTTCTTGTCCAGTTTGGTGGGATAGCGATGCTCCGTCTCCGAATGCTTGCAGTTATCGCAGACAGCCAGCCAGGAGGTTTTAGCAACACCGGGAGGCCTTTGATAGTTGCCACAGGCACAGATGCCATTCTGACACGGTGTCCCATCTTTGGTCCCTCTCTTTCGAATCTAAAGTATGATTTTGAATATAATGAGGTGGAAAATGTTGCTAAAAATCTAAAGAACAGATCAATGCCCTTAAGGAAACAGCAGTCAATACACCGATTTTCACATATATTCCTTTACTAAACATTTCAATTTTTTTTTGCATTTCTAACACATTATTTCCATCTTCTAGCATTTCTTTCCCATATATATACAAAGATAAGGATTGATGATTATTAAATGGGTTTGGGGGTACTAAGGCTTTTCAGATTTGCAAGAGGAATTTACTTGAACTTTAATATTATTATCTGGCAGCATTGTATTTGATTGACCCCGACCTTTGTCATGTTTCAGGGGCCTTGACCTTGGCCTATGACCATGTACAAAAGAAATCTTTTAAAATCTAAACTTCATCATACAAAAGATTGATGGTCCTGGGTTCTTCCTTTTTAAAGATTGAACAAGAAATATATTAACAACCTTGTTGTTCTTCATACACACCTTCTTTGCTTGGGCCTCTGTTATCAAGTCTGAAAGAACAAAATAGTCAGAATATTAAAGAGAGAAATTATAAATCCTTAACAATCAAATTAAATACTTTTAAATTGTTAAATCTGGAGGTCAATGCAAATTTTGTGATTGGACCCCTGTATTATCACACTATTTGAAATACAGTATTTCTGTCTCATTTGGTTATATATATTTAATACTTATATTTCTCAAAATTCTCTTAAAGATGACACCAAATTATTGTGTGTAGATTTTAAGGACTGAATCAATCCATCTTCGGGGTGGAGGAGAGATGAAGAAGTGCAAGGCAAATGAATGAATGATATTGGTAGTTAAAATCTCGTTATCCTATCTCCATAGGATAAAGGGTTCTTCCAAACTTAGAAGGGGGAGGGGGTCAACTGCATTTATCATATCTTAAAGCTTGTTATCCTATGTCCATTGGATGGATAAAGCCAAAGGTCACTTCTAAAATTAGAGGGGGGGGGGGGGAGGCAACTGCCCCTACCCATATCCCTCCTATCAATGTTCCAGCATGCATTCCCAGATAAGTAATATATCCTACCATGAGCAACCCATCCATGTTTGCAGTTATCACAAGTCTTGAGTTGAGTTTTGCCCGCTGTAAATTCACCGCAATCACATTCCGGTAGAGTGCATCGATACATCTGAAGAAAAAAAATGGGAGGAAAAGAGACAAAATATCCAAAACATGAAAATATATATGATTCAAATAAGAGAAGGTCATAATCACATTTTACATTGGTAATTAAACTCAAGAAATCATAGATCTAAGAAAGAAAATAAATAAATAATAAAACGGTGCTTATAAAGCGCTTTCCACGGAAGTCTCTAAGCGCTAAACTAGTAAAACAAACAAATACAATATGATGAACAATTATATTTGTATAGACTTATTATTAGAAGATCTAGGTCTATTCTAATCTAACTTAGAGTCTACAAAAAATTACTGGGACCAGTTAGTCTAGCTAGGCTACAGTAATAATATCACCCTGTTGTAACAGAAACAGATACCTCGCTATATAGAGCTCTTTATAATGAGTTCCCACTGTAGAATATATGATTGGTATGATAAGAGAATTTTGTAATCGTTAAAGTTCATTTCAAACTTCGGTTAAATTCACCACTTATGCACTCAGGAGCACCGATCTGTCAGTGTCACCGCCCCCCTAAGCACCGGGGCCAGAACTCTCGATACCCCATCATCCACGGAGTAATTCTACTAATTTATTTAAAATTAAACATCGAAAAATACCACGGTAGACATCATTAAAATTATTAAAACTTACAGCGCCTCTCATTTACACCAATCACTGCAACTGAAGTGGAGATCCAAGTTGAATTACTGGTAAATCACCCAGATTTGTAGCTGCAGGTTTAGTTGAAATGCAAGTGCAAGAATGACACCGACACAAATTTCCCGCGGTATAACTCAGCTGAGCTAGCTGAGCTGGCTGAATTGAACCCGATATCATAAACAAGCAATGCGCGCGCCCGGAATTCGGGCGAGGCGCGATGTTTGAAATCCGTAGCCGTAGGTCAACAGTCATCGTACGTGCATTAACGGGTTTTCAAGCGACAGTCAAAGAGTTGTTGATTTTGGGTATGTTTTGTGACTTTTGTTTGAAAGATAGTACTAACATAGGATCGTTTGATTTCCTCTTCTTTTTAATGTCTAATTTAGGTGAACAAAATTGCAGGAAGTGCCAATAATCTTCTTCCAAATTCGTTCATGTAGAATGTCACTACTCACAGTCCCACAAGTAGGAAATTATGTGTGTTGCTCACTGTTGTTGGTATGAAAGAAGGTGTCAATCCCGATTCATATCTCACTTGATAAAACTTTGATGGAATCAAAGTGATCTAGACCTAATATTGTGAAATTTTAGAAGGATGTTTGAGAGAGTGTTTTTCTTAGATAACTGATCCTGATCCTATCATCCTGATCTTGATCTTGATTTTGAGTGAATTTAAAATCAATTTTAAATGAAGCTAGAATTTTAGAAAATAGAATCCTATCAACAGATCAATTTGTCAATGTTTGATCTTGACTCTTGTGTTCTGTTTCATAACTAAGTCTGAGACTGAGCAGAATTCATGAGCATAAATGATGAGCACTACGAAATGAATACGAGCCATGAAGGCATGACTTGGTTTCATGTCATAATAAAACGATATATTTTAAGCTTAGAATTAGATCTAGTGTTTAGTGAATTGTCTATAAAAAAAAAAAAATTCATACTGCAAATAGTTGAATCACCAAATGGAATTTTGCCATTCCAGATACACTGCTTCAGCACTTGTCTTTATCTCTCAATTTTCTTCTCCCCCCCCCCTTTCCTTTTTAGGTCGAGGTGCATTAATACATAACATAAGCCAGTTCGCCTATGGGAAGACTGCCCAAATCTTCTTATTAGTAGTCTTAGTTTTTTTTTTAGTTTGAGAGTGTTTACAAGGTCTTCAAATCCGACGATTTATAACACTCTTTTTTTCTCAATCCTTTCTCTTTACGATTTTTTTTTTGTACATTTAATTCTGAATCATCTGAACTATTTGTAATACATGAATCTAATATTTCCAGAACATATTCCTTCTCCTCCTCCTCCTCTCTCTTTCTTATCACAGATATCGGCATGTCAAAGGTGAATGTACTTGATGTACATCAGACCAGGACATGACCAACAAGAGGACAGTTTTGCACTAACAAACCTTGAACAAATGTCTGAAGATGGCTACTTCTCATTCAGGTACTTCAAATAGAATTCATAATCGTCAATATTTTGTAACATAGATTTCCAGATGTACTGTAACTAAGGGATTGGCACACAGCCTGTCCCTAAATGCAGGTGCTGCAACAATATAATATTGACATGAGTTTGTTTTTGTTTTTTCAAATTAGATCTAGGTCTTTATCAAAGCATTTTTCTCAAAGCATAAAACATAAGCAAATGTACAAAATGATGGATACAATGAGTTAGTAGGTCCAACTACCTACCAGGAAATATAGCAGTAGGGTCTAGTACTGATTTTGCATTTTCAATGATTCATTGAATGATGAAGTTATGACCTTAATCATGTTTATAAAAAAAAAATTGGGTACTGTACATTTTGCTCTCAGTATTAAATTGATATGAAAGCTAATTTCCTCAATTCATAGTCAGGATGTTCATGGGAGCTTCGGAGGATAATAATAAATACTATTTTGCCCTAAACTCATTTTAACTTGCTAGATTGAGGGACACAAATATAAGTGTATACATTTGTTAAAGGTCTTGGTTTTATACTGATAGGCCGGTTTCAGCTATTTTAAGTATTCTGTACAAACGCTAGTAACTTTAGAAGTCTTCTATTTACTTTGACCATAGATGATGAGGTTCAGAGGCTTGGAGCTCGTAACCAAGCTCTCTCTGAAGAACTGGCACAATGCCAAGTAAGTTCCTGCAATTTCCATATTTCCATGATATAATCATTTTCCAAAGTGGTTGATTTCTTCTTTCTTTATCCTTCTTTTGATATATATATATATATATATATATATATATATGCTACTGAGAAAGTTATTTAATTATACTTCTATCCAAAAGTATTTTTCTTAAAAGCTGAAAATGCTATGTAATTTTACAATCTCAAACATACATTATATTTGAGTTTGATTAATTTGAAAATAAGATAAAACAAACAATAAAAAGCAATTTTTACAGTAAAACTAAGTTTTGGTAAAGGTCCTAAAGTATGTGCTGACCTTCAAGTTACAGTATACAGTGCAAGTAAATTGGCCTGCATTATGTATGTATGTACAAAGAATGCATATGGACTAGAGAAATTTTGTTCAGTTGCTTTTACCATATTAAGTACTCGCTTGCCCTTTATTTTTTTTTTGCACAGGCTGATAAAGAGTTTGTATGGTCGCTATGGAAACGCGTTCAGGTGGCCAATCCTGATATATCACAGGCAATCAGCATGGTGGTTCAAAGGTAAATCATTCTTGCACTGCTGTACTATGATTGTTCGTCAGGAAGCCACACTGCTGCAGATGGTTTGCAGTCTATAAAAAAAAAATCCCCATTCAACAGCTTATCAAACATCTACAAAAATTTGATCCTTATATACATGTCACTTAGGAGATTACCAAGCTTCAATTGTAGGTTATTTCTTTAAGCTTTTCTACAAGTCTTTCTGATTCAAAATAATCTATTAATGATAATATTGGATATTTATATAGCAAACATATCCACCATGCATGGTGCTCAAGGCGCTCCAACTATTATCCCGGCTCTGCTAGGCACCCGATTTTGGCGTTCACAGCATTCAAGGAATTCCTTCTTACCGGTACCCATTTAACACTTGGGTGGAGAGTGGCAAATGAAGATAAATATCTTGCCAAAGGACATTAGTGCCTTGGCGGGACTCGATCCGCTGACCCTGTGATCCACAGTCCGACGACTTATCCACTAGACCACAACACCTCTACACCTCTATTAGCAGTATAGGTTTCAGGAACCCAAACTAAAGGAAACTTGTGGGTGATATATATGCAACAGAAGCTTCTTAGTTTTGGGATACCTGTACATTAAAATGTTATCTTAATCCTGCCAATACTAATAGGAACTAAAATATATATTCAAAACTCAGTAAATTCCTCTTATAGGCACCTTGAACATCTTTGAAGTAAGAATAGTGTGCTATATAAATATTGCTGTTTTTATTATAATTTTATTTCTAAAAACTTGTTACACTTTGTTTGATCATACACACTTGGACTTATATTTGATGTATTTTTACAGGGAGAAGGAGAAAGCTGAATTAAAAGATAGGAAGGTTCTTGAGATACTGCATTCTAAAGATGACAGGATAGCTGAACTTGAGCAGGTGAGGAGATGAAAAGAAAGAAAGATGCCATACATATGTTTACAAAAATAGCAAGATGTTTAAATCAAGATGTAATATTATTTTGAATATGTTCTTTATAATTTGGTACAAAATCTTTGATAGGCCTATGGTCTTTGTTTGTCCCTTCATATTTTTTGTTTATTGCCTCTTTTTTATTTTTTGTTTGTTTGTTTTAAATTAAAAAAAATTAATTTTGTATTGTTGTTAGATTTCTGTATGTTTTCACTGTTATTCCTGTTTATTATTGTCATTGTTAAAAGAGCATACAATGAAATCTAAATGATGAATATTCATTGGCTATAATATTGATTGACTGTTGGATGGAAATGTTAACTTTTGAATGTCTTTCTATTTCTCATAAAATAGTATAAAACCTTTATCTGTAGGTTGCATCAAGTTTAGGGTTTATTCCATACACGATGTTTAACAAAAAACTTTTGCGACAGGGGTATACTGCATTTAAACAGACTATTTTGTATTGAAATTTTCTGTTTGTTTTCTCATTACAGCTTGTATCTAAGCAGGAAAGAAGGCTTGTAGAAGTAGCTGAAAGGTTTGTCAAATTTAGGAAGATATTTTCCTTTGAAGGAATTGATAAAGCTAAAATGACATATCTAGTTAAAATGCCTGATGGAGTGTGGGTAACAGTCAGGTGATCTGTTTTTGTGTCTTTTTCATCTCATATCGGGTGTGCTACATCTTAATACCTGGTAGGATTAACAGAAAAAGGATAGTCTGCCTATTGAAATGTATCTCATACTTTATTCTAGTGATAGTCACGGTGATAATAATTGTGATATTGTTAATGACTTTAATGGTAATGGTAATGCTAATAATAAAGATAACAACGATAATGAAATATCCCGTGTTTATAAAGTGGTACCTCCCTCGAATACGATTCTTAAGAAATTAAAGCCCCACTGCACTACTTATAGCCACACGCGCCCTTTATATAACAAACAATGCCTAATCTTTGGTCCCCCATGGTCCTCTTTTTCTTTAATGTTCATTGAGAGCTGATTTGATGAGATAACCACCTGTCAGTGACCATGCTGGGAGGTCTAATCCCTCCTGGCCAGATAGGCTTTAAGGGGCAAGTCCAAGCTATTTTGTCCCAAATGGGATTGACCACCTTTGATATTTGAGTTTATCTAATGGTTGTATCAAGCTGATAGCCCTACTACTAGAGCTTGAACCAGACAAAACATCAAATAAAATAGTTTGATATCAGTTTATGTTTAGTTTATGTCAAACAATTCCATAGTACGATTCAATAATACTCGGTACTGTACAGGATATATTTATTATTATACTTTGGACTTACCTCAAATTATACCTTGTTATACCATATAATCTTGAATGTGCAGAGTTGGCGATGCATCGTTTAACAGAAGAGAAGAATTAACAGCAGTACACATACAACATGAACAGCAAACAAAAGATACAAAGCAGAAGGTAGGATGTTTTCTTCTGTTTTTTCAATTTCTGTTACCATCAACAGTGTCATAAAATACATATGACAATTTTAGTTTCCAATAAAATCACTTTGATGATATCAACAAGTACAGGGTTTGAACCTACAATGTACTGCCTCAGAGTCGTGACACCTACCCACTTCTGCCATGTTGTGTAACACAAGCTCCTTTCTTCTTAATTCCGTACTCTTGACCAGTGTTGTACTCTAATGCCCCCAATGTTGATATAGTTATCTTTTGCCATTAGTTACCTTCGTAAACTTATGCAACCTGATCTACATGTAATGGAATTCATTTCATTGAAAAAGCAGCATGATAGAAGACGGGTCAAGCTTATGATACATTGTTTTGTAATATATTAATAATGCCTGAGTTGCATATTAAACTATTCTGTTCATCTAAATGAGAAAAGTATCACCATCAATACACTGGTGTGATCCATCACTGTGATACATTCTCTTTGATTTTGTGTAGGAGAAGGAGCAGGCACACAGAATGCAAACTCTGTTGGATGAGAAGGACAAAGCTTTGACAGAGCTGAATGCAGAGAAAGAAGGTAAGAGAAAAATAATGATAATAATAATTTATCATTTTTGTATAGCGCCTAAAACACACCGGTAGGCATAATTGCATACCTATCTTGTGCTTTACAGAACGAAATACAGAAGGCCTGGAAATGATGCACTTCGGTCATAATTGTGAGATTTTACAAAGTGCTAAATGAATATGTTTTCAAATTACTTCTGAACTTTTTGTATGTTTCTATATTTCTAAGGTTATTCCGTAAAGCATTGGCTGCATATAAAAATGACCTTTGCCCGTAAGATTTGTTCATAGTTTGTGGGACAAGAAATTTTTACTGGAACACAGCGGACATATAGGTACATATACAAGAAACAGAGAATATTGTTTTTTTAATGAGACTAGGAACAGATTACAAAATAGATATTGTGTACATATATTCTTGTGAATGGTTTGGTGCTAGCCAGAAAAATGTATTACAACTTTATTCAACTAGCACAAAACTATTAGGATTATATTGAAGAAAGTGCATGTGCATTGGTGTCCTGCACAACATATTTGGATAGCTCTAGCCATTCAATAACCTACGGTTTTTACTTTTTCTCAGATAGGCATCAGTATACATTTCATCTGAGCCCTGTTTCATAAAACTTGTTATCAATAACAAATGCTAAATCTCTATGACCAATTTGCTCTCAGTCAATCAAATGCCACAATTTCAGCAGCTTATAACAGTTATTGTAAATTGTTATTGCCGATAACAAGTTTTATGAAACAGGACCCTGGTATAGATCTGGGAACTGTTTCACAAAGCCTTTTTTTAATGACAAATAAAAAAAATCAGTGACAAATCTGCTGATAACCAGATCAGAAGCAAGGATTTCATTCGCTTATAACAAAAAAACTGTCATTTGTCACTGACGACGAGTTTTGTGAAACGCCCCCATGATGAAGTTAAAACATTGAGTTTTAAAAAAATCTTTGTTTGTCAGAACTGGAGCATCGGGTAGCAGAGCTGCAGTCAACAGTAGAGGAATCACAGGCAGCACTTGCTAAGATGCAGGAGCTGAATGGAGAGTATAAAGCTAAGGTTCAGGTAAGACAACAAGTAGGAAACATGGGGGATCTTGTGTTCTCACTTGTAGCACCCCCCCCCCCCCCCCATCTGTGACACTAACAACTTAGCACGGACTGGGAGAATAGCCTACACAATACAAGAATATGAATCCCTTGTGGAAATGCTATGGGATCTTGCTTAGTCTTTTGGGGGCGGTACATATTTGAGCGTGGAAAGTAAATATATATTGAGTGTCTTGCAACCTATACATAAGGGTATTATATGGTTTCAGAAAACTTCTAGGATTTTGTTTTCTGATTCACTGAGAGAGAGAGAGAGAGAGAGAGAGAGAGAGAGAGAGAGATGCATGTACCGCAGATTTGTTTTCGCATTCTTTATTGGAAGTATACAAGCAAGAAACTCCAAGTGTGAACTAAAAAACTATGGCATATATCCTCCTTTACCCCTATGAACAAGGTACTAGTACAATGCTCTGAGTATAATATTCACCATTTTCCCAAAATTTGCAGGAGTTGCAGCATGGCTTAGAGGATGTAGTTCAGAAGGCAAGACTGGCATCTGATGAGGTGAGTTAAAGGGCAATCTAACCCTTGTAATAAGTTGATCGAGTTGTATGAGAGCAGAAAAATAACAGAAACAGAATGGTAAAAGTTTGAAATGAATCGGACCAATAGTAAGGAAGTTATGAGTGTTTGAAATATGAGATCACTAAATCTATGCGAATCTGAAATTGGTAGTTTGGTCAGTGGATTGTGACGTAGGACGTAGATAACTCTCCCATTTGCCATGTACAAAAATATCACTAATTTCTGTAAGTTCCTTTTCTCTTGGGACACTACTTAAAACTCAAAATGTATTATGGCTAACATTATTATTATAGGTCCTTTAAAAAAGAATAGACCCTTCTGAGCCATGAACTTTTGAGAAATTTAAATTTCAGTCATTTTATATGTTTTATATAATCTGTTGCTGTTTAGCTTGACAGCAAGAATGAAGGTCTCCAGAGAGCCAAAGCCAGACTTCAAGAGTTGACCAAAGAGATGATGGACAGTGGTCATGACCTTCATCGGACAAGGTCAGAACCCATATGTGAACTGCCCTGACAGTATTTCTAGACCTTTTGTGAGATTAATTCAGGGCATTGGAATTCTGTTTGTTGTCCAAAATTATTACCATACACTGTTATAACATTTGTACATTTATGTAAGTGAATGCTTGCATGGCATTATTATCATTGTGTTTCCCCCTAAGTTTTTGGAACACTGTATTTACCTATAGAGTTCTTGATTTGCCAGATGCCCCTTGAAGTCATGTTCTTACATGTATGTGTACTTTGAATTTACATAATATGCGCATGAATGAGTTTCCTTTGATGTAAATATGACTACAGGGTAACTCATATTGTGAAGGGTTTGTGAGATCAAAAGGTATAGAGCAGAATATGCTAAACATGCAGGGTATAATAGAGTGAGGCAAAAGATGGGATGTATAGAATATGTTACTAAAGATACAGGCGAGTCTGCAAGTAAGGTAAACAATGTTACCCAAGACAAAAAACATTGCGAAGTATGTCTTTGGGCTCACTAGGGGATTTAGACCATATCTGGACAACTACCCCCTAGGTCACCTACCCTCTAGGACAACTATCCCCCAGACAACTACCCCTAGGATAGTTGTCCAGGGGGTAGTTGCCCTAGAGGATGGTTGTCGTGGGAGGGGGGGGGGGGGTAGTTGTCCTGGAGGGTGGTTGCCCTAGGGGGTAGTTGTCCTAGAGAGTGGTTATCCTAGGGGTGGTTATCCGGAGAATGGCTTTCCAGGGGGTAGGTGTCCTAGAACCTAACAGTGCCTAACAATAAGGGTTTGTCCTATCTCACTGCTGATTGAATTTTCTTTTCTCTAAATTTCTTCTCTGTTCCAGGCTGGAGTATGAGGACCTGAAGGCCCAACATGAACAGACCTTACATCAGGCTGCCCAACAAGCACAGCTCATACACCAGCTACAAGCCCTACAGGCGGATACACACAAAGGTCAGTCTAGCTCATTATATATTCACACAATGTTTATGCCTACTCTTATATTCTCCAGTTGTGCATTTGTAATCCACTTCATTCCACTTCTGAATCGTTTGAATACTTGTGTTGAAACCCATGAAGCCTCATTCATTTAAAGCCCCTCTGCACTAGTCCGGCATGGAGGGATTAGACCACCCTGCAAGGTCACTGGCAGGTGGTCTCATCAATTCAGCTCTCAATTAACTTAAGAAAAAAGGGCATCATGGGGGATAAACAGGTACCGCTAAGACATTCTTTGCTATATAGAGGGTGCAAGTAGCTATAGTAGTGCAGTGGGGCTGTAGAGATATGAGTGTGAGGTATTGTGAATGGATATTTGAAAGCGTGTTCACTCGTCACACAACATAAGCTCTTATTTTTATTTTAGCTACGAGGAAACAAGGTTGCACTTACAATAAAATACATAAAAGAAAGTATTCCCTTTTCGTTATGTTTATTGGGTACTGATGAGGCTGGCCGTACACTTGCAAAGTGTAGCCAAGCACATGCAAGTCGATGAAGTCGATGACTCAGAATAAAAATGCATTAATGGTAAATGTGAATATTGCACGGAAATTAACAATCAGTGATGAAAATGAACATGAATAAATGCGATGTACATAATGAATGAATAGAGCTTATGACATATATGAAATGACGTCGAAAGTCCAATGAAAAGAAGAGAGTTGAGAACGAAGGAAGGGGCTCACGCGATGAAATGTGCGGAGGCTTGATGAGGTGGAGATGTAACTTCGTTGTCGTGGCTGAAGAGCCGTGAAGAATCTCGACGCTGACGTCCGTGATGAAGATAGTGAAGAAGCTCTCAGGCGAGAAGAGAAGAGAAGAAAGTGATGCTCGACGATGAAACAGTGAGTCGTTTGATGTCGGAGGCCTAAGTAGAAAATGCAGACATCAAAGCCGGCATTGGTGCTGAGCAGTGAGTCGCTCGATTGATGAGCCGAACTTTGATGATGAATGTTTAGATGAGCTGCGGTGAGTCGAGCTCATGTGGGTGAAAGGCTACCGGTGAAGAAACTGGCAGCTCCCAGCGGATAACCAAGCACCATATATGTCGGATCTTGATTTTAACTGTTCCACTGGGAAACTGCCAGCCCGTTGAAGACGGCAGAGAAAGTGAAGATGTGCCGATAGAGGTGATAGGCACGGTAGAATCAAGCCCGGAGAGGAAAACATGCAGAGACGTGTTGACTCAACTGAGATGTAAGCAGGAGTTGTTGACTCGACCGAGGTGTAAGCGGGAGTGGAGAAAAACCTTGTGGCGTTGAAAATACGCGGGATGAACAGTGCGGAACCACGATGCGCGATTGGAAAGAAATACACACGTGGTCCGAATAATGAATATAAATAAGTTCCGTGATGGAAAAATACTGGAGACATGAATGTACGGTAAAAGTAGGGCGAATGTAAGAGCCGCTACAGGGCTTTAAGAAATAGGTAATTGCCATTAAAAAAAAGCAGCAACTTTGCACATGTGTTCTTCACATTTATATATCATATATGGAAAATATGTAAGTTTAATATGCTCAAGGGCATATTGATGTAAGCAGCTACCTGTATTTATTGTTTCATTTTGTAAAATTCCCCTTCACTTTTCAATCACCCCATGTATTTTGAGAGTTGAAATATATTATACAGTCACAGATGAAAAGTCTTCGCTATATTAATGTAGCATACTTTATGTAAAATTATTCAAACAGGATCATTTATCCATCATTTTTCATTTCAGTTTTGAAAAATCAGGAGAGTGCTCATTCCCTCGATTCAACAAATTTCCAGAAGGTAAAATATACAGTATTCATTATGTTTAATTTATTTTCAAACTGTCATTCATCTTAAGAAATATCTGTTTAATTTAGCTTATAATTGATTACCATAACCTTTCATGTCTGTACCTTTCCTAATGCACTTTGTATAAATGTATCATGTACAAGTGTATTTCATCTTTTGCACAAGCTGTGCCTTGAGCATTTGACTGTCAAGTGGATTTGGCGCCTTGTAAATCTTATGTATTATTATTATTATATATCAGTATTTATTTTTAAATAATAACAATAATATATTTACAGAATATATGCTTTTTGAGTCCAAACAAATTTCCTCATGTCACAAGAGAATAAAGGCTGGCAATGTATGTAATAAAGTAGTATTTATTGTATTAGACTGTATTTTTTAAGGGAAGAAGGGGATTTTCTCAGTAAACTGACAATAGAATTGAACTTCTATCAATTGAATTGCAATTGATATGAGATTATCAAATTGAATACATTATTCTTTTTAAGTGCATCCCTTATTTTTTCCCCATTTCAGATGTATCATGAACTCAGAATAAAATTTGAAAAGCTTGTCCACTCTGAAAAGGAACTCAAGCAGCGATTGGCTGAGGCAGAGGGTCAGGTGACCACCAAGCGACCAATGAGAAGTGTTTCCCTGCAGGTCAATCTAAAGGAGAGTTCGGGTCAAAGGTCAAGGTCAAGAACAAGGTCGAGGTCACAAGAGGTTTTGAGAATGGAACAGAGAGAAGAATGGACAACCATCGCAGGGTAACAATTTCTTTACTTCTTTTTTTCCCCTTGTTTTAATGAAAACTAAGAAATGGCCAAAAAAAGGTTAATTGTAGAAAGCTCATTTCGCACAAAAACAGGGCAATATGATAAAAAGGATATTCAGTACTAATGGATGATTGTCAAGCTTGAACAAATGTATATGTTCATAATGTTTCTACTAATTTATAAAGGGTGACTTGATGAATACCGTGTAGCCAATTCGTAAATAGTTCGGAATGCATGACCCCCAAAAATCCACAGATCTTTTAAACGATGGATACATCCCACTTGTGCAGTTTAGAATAATCATTGCCAAAGTGATGGAGGTGCTTCATGAATACCTTTTGTGTATCAGATAAATGTACTGTCGGTGCATAAATGAATACTGATTACATAACTTTCATGAGCACGAGCCGAGTATTCGTCTTGATGGGTTTTACAATTTGGGAACAAATGACCTTTATCTGCCCATGTGCAGATAGTATTTACAAACTGGCTTATTATGATAATATGCTGTTGCACATAATGTCATTCAATTTTGAGGTAGTTCTACCACTCCCTACATTTTATATCAGTAAAGTTGTCTAAATCTTGTTTACCTCTTTTTTTTCCCCCCATGTGGTTTAGCACTCATCAAAGGGGGTCATATGAAAGTTCATCCAGCCCTGATCAGCATACAAGGGCAGACAGAGTAAGACTGATTATTTGTTTAAATAGGGAACAATGTGATCAAGAAGCTAAAGTCTGTCAAATAATCTTGAAGTACTGAGTATGTAGTAATGGGATTATTTTGTTGTAATTATCATCTTTGAGCCTAATACATGAACATGTGTAAACTGTGAATACGAATTGTAAAATTTGAATATTTTTAGGGTGCAATTACATGAAAATTACAATTCATTATGGTGTACAGTAACTTTCATCAGAATTTTGAAAAATAATATCCACATCCTTCCTCATTTTTTCTCTCTCCCAAGAAAAGATGAGCCATTTCAATACTTATTCTTTGGGTAATAATTCCTCTTGATAACAAAATCTAGCTCACAATTTATTGCTAGGATTGTATTATGCATCAGCACAATGCATCCATGTCAAAAAGATTCATTCCACTTTACAACGTTTCAGGCTACATCAACCCCTACCAAGCATGCAGCGCGCCGAGCCCGGTCTCTTTCTCCGTCAGGGAGCCGACGTGACTCCCACCACCAGGAGCCGGATGGAGCCTGGAGCCAGGGGAGAATATCTGATTTCTTGGACGCCTCTGAAAGGCAAAGAGGAGGAGGGAGAGATGCTCGTAAGAAGGAGGACTTGAGGAAGCTTCTAAGACTCAAGGTTTGAAGTTCAAACATTAAAGTTTATTTCCACTTAAAGTGACTCGGTGACATTGTCTCAGATTCTGAAACAAAAATCCTGGATTTAGCTCATGCTGCAATCATGATTATAAACCTTTAGGTCAGTCAGGAATCCCATGACATTTACAAGCCAATCGTCTGTCTAATTATCAAGATATTTATGATTGGAAATCGAAGTTTCAAAAAATGTTTTCCCAACAGTCGTTATAACACTACAGTTTTTATAACACTACATATCACAGACACTGATAACACGTAGGGCCATGCATCTCAGATTTCTAAAACTGAAAACATTGTTAAACGATGCCTTTAAAGTTTGTTTCCACTTTTGCATTGAAAAAATAGTTATGTACAGTATATAGTATCTTCCAGAAGCTGGACTGGTACATTTATTGCTTAAAAATAAACATATTGTTAAAGATAACCATTTAGAGAATATGAACAAAGACTGTCTAGCACATTTTAACATTAAAAAGAAATTGTAAATGCATAGTGGATGTGTTATGGAACTTGTTTTGAATTAATTTGATTGATCTGATCAATTTGTTCAAAAAATGAATATGTAGATCACAAGAAGTTTGAAAGGAAGATTGGAGATTGATCACATTGGAGCCTGGAAACTACTTTATCGCTGAAATATTGTTTTTCTTCCGAATTCTACTTGTGTTCGTTTGAAGTAGTAAGGATATTGCCATGGAATTCCATCAAGATGGGTTGTGTATGTATCATGGAACCTTTTTCTTGTGGTAGCGTGATTGTTATATCTTCCAGGAGCAATGAGAAATAAATGTTTGTTGTTGTTGTTATTACTGCTTTCATAGAACCAAGAGGTGGAAGAGTTGCGGAAAGCCCACGGTCGTCGATTGGAGCGACTCCGTACTCTGCAATCTGCTTATGATGTTGTCAAGGAACAGATTAAAACCTATGAACAGCATGAAAGGTGAGCAAGAAGAAATGAATACAAATCTAACCTTAGCCTTTTGGAGGTTACTTGGGGCATAAGTTATCTTACCTTAAATCAAAAGGTAAGATAAAGAGAGCTCTTGGACATCTCCATTTAATAACCACCAAGAACCACCCTGTAGGCAATGATGCCCTCAGAAAAATTGCGTCACAAAGCAACTCATGAAGATTATTTTTTAAAGTTGCTCAAGCGTGGTTATATAGAGGGCAGCACACGGACGTACGCACAGGAACGTAATACCCATTGGCTCAGTGTTATGTAGTGATCGCCAAGTTGCCTACTTCACAAACGATTATATACCCAAGCATGAACATCTTTAAGGTTAACCAATATTGTGTAGTATGTTATTTATAAAGAGGTTCGTACATGTACCTTGTACTTTTCTCTCTTTGTCCATCCTATTCCCCCTTCTCTCTCTCTCTCTTTCTCCCTCTCTCTCTCTCTTTCTCTCTCTCTCTCTCTCTCTCTCTCACACTATATTTTTATATATATATATATATAAAATATATACTGGTATGTACTTTAATTTTATTCAGTGGTAAAGAGAAGAAGAAGAAGAGGCTACCTAGATCTGAGAGCAAGGATCTTAGAAGAGAGGATTCTGATGGTGTTTGGAATGACCTTGCCTACTACAAACAACAGACCACAAACCTCATGCAAGAAAAGTAAGTCAGCGACAACCTTGAAACTTCACCATCCCTCATCATAAGGGTCATTGATTTGAAATCCAACAAATCATTAAATTCAATTTATTTCCACTTTAAAAACAATTTTTAAATCAATAACATATACATGAATAATAGTGGTGGGATCATGAAAAGCACTAATTGGCTTCTTAAAATGGCCCCTTAACAAGTATACACATAACATATTATACATTGTAAGAAAATAACAAACATTATAACAGGAAAAACTTAACAAGAACATTAAAATTAAAATTAAATCATAGAGAATATTGACTATCAAAGTTTGTATTAACTTGGTACATGAATAAGTTGACGATTTCAGAAGAATGGACGTGTATATTGTGAATTTTGTAATTTTCTTTAATCAGCGTCATTTCTGCAAATCACTGGCACATTAAAGCTCGACAAAAGAATGACACATTTTATTTGCCCAAACTCTCTATCGTTAGGATGAATATTGAGGAAGAGATTGATAGACTTCGAGTCCAGGCCACAGTGGATGCCTCTACTATAGAAGATCTAACCAGATGTCTGGAAGATGAGAAAAATGGTAAGAAAGGAAAAAACAATTTTCTATTATGTGCATATTCATTTTCATATTTTGCAGACTAAGGAAGACAATTATACTTGTTTAGCTTCTAAAACTTGCCACTTAAAATGAAAATGATTTGACCCCCTGTGAGATGTGCACATGTGTATTTTTTTTTTTTTTTTTTTTTTTTTTGGGGGGGGGGGGTTGTAATGTTCTGTGAAATACGGTATGCATACTTGGGAGAAAAGATGAGAAAACACATTGTTTATTTGTTATAATTTAGCACTATCTCTATTATCTCTCTCTCAGGTCTAGAGAGTCATCTAGCTAGACTTCAAGCTGCCAATAAAAGAGAGGAGAGGGAGAAAGCTAGGGCTGAAGATCTCTTTGATAAGGTAGGGAAATGAGAAGGTGAAATGTGAGTACTAACGCTTAACATTTTCAATCACCTACATACAGGTGTATATATCTATATATATATAGTTGCCTATTCATAATCAAGATATCAAGCAGTGTACCAGTATTTATACAAATATTCATACATCAATTTGTTTATTTTTTTGTTGTTGATTTTGTTGATTTTTTTTTTTTTAATATAAAAAAAAAAAGTCTTGTTTGTTTATTTAATTTTTTCTTCTTCTTCAATTGCTTGATCAATTATAAAAGTTAGAAAAAACATCAGATTTTCTTCCTCAGTCTCAGGATTGACACCTGCAGGTTTAACTTAGTATTCTTCAATTCTCCAGATTAAAGCATCAGTATTACAAGCCATTCATTCTATTTTCATCAACATTCATGGATAGAAAAATTATTTGCAGATTATTATGCAGATTTACAAGAAGTGACATTTAAATTAACCATGTAGCAGTAAATCATTCAAATCAATCTATTTTCATTGATATTCATTGACAGAACACGAGACTACATAACTCTCTTCATAGTCTACAGAACACACAGAGTGAGTGGGCCGAAGAGAGAGACAGACTAGAAAGACAACTCAGGTAATTAAAGCATGTTTATAAAGCAGCATTCACACATGACATGTTAAACCCCTATTAAAACAAATACAAAATACTGTTTAACTAGGAGTGATGTTCTCATCACAGCACAGTAGAGTATCTTTCTAATATAGATTTATCTAATCATTGCCGGTATTATAATTACCAATAATCAGTACCTCTTGTTGTAGGGCACCCAGTCTCCTCCTTAACACTCTTAAAAACGCAAAATAGAATGACGGTACTATACCTCATATTTATGTACCATATTAATGAGTAAGTACAGTTATGCTTAGGTCCCTTTGTTACACTCAGCTTCTTTTCTTTCACCCCATTTTGCAATTCATTTGAATTATAATAACAAAAATATATATTTGTTTCTATGGCCTAACCCTGACCAAAGTCCTAAATCTAACCCTTCCCCTATTAAACCTTAATAACCATAGGGGTAGTGTGATAATTTGTAGTTAAACTGACAAAAGTTTTCCTCAAATTTTAATCAAACTATATACCGTGAAACCTGTCTATAAAGACAACCCAAGGGAGACAAGAAAAGTGGTCTTTACAGACAGGTGGTCCTTATGTACAGGTTCCTTTAGTACACATGTATATGTTTCAATCAGAAACCATTTACAAGGGAAACAAAAAATGTGGTCTTTGTAGACAGGTGGTCGCTAAACCAGGTTTGTCTGTATATATTTATATATATATATATAATCTGAATTTGAATTATGTAGATCGATGAGGGCAGATCTAGTACAGGCCAATACCGCATCAACTCGCAAGGAGGTTGAGCATCAAGCGCTGGTAGAAGAAATCACCAAACTCAAGACGAGGATGAAGAGATTGGCCACCACCATGAGACGGGAGGCAGATAGAGAAAGACAGACTCCTCAAATAGGGGTATGGATAGTTTGTCACATAGTTTATATTGCCCAACATAGCATCTGAGATTGCATGTACCTGACATTCTGACTGATAAAATACAGTTAATATGACTCGGAAGAAGGACTGTAAAACAAGAAATATTTGTGTGCATTAAACGCTTCACATTGCAAATTAACTAAATCACAACTGGAACCATACTGAATGTAATTTTGTAATTTGTATTTTTTTTCTGGAAATGGCCATTGTTTACATTTTGTAAAAGTATTTGGTTTCACAGCTTGTGAAATTTATGAACTTGAGTTAACACTTTAACCCTTTTAGAACAGGATTAATTTTAAGGGATAAGTTGATCTTCAAATTGGCAACAATAATGTTTTCCTTTTATCACTTCAATGATAGAATAAAATGCAATGTCTCTGAAAACAATACACATGGGCTAGAATGTTGTTGAAAAGTTTATAAAATGGAAAAGCATTGTTTTTCTCAAACCTCATAATGTGTTGCCAGTTTAAAGATTTTTAGACAGTCATGAAACAAAAAATGGATGCAGTGTGTGCAGCAATTTTTGCCCATGTATCTAGTATATTTTGTAGGGCTCTGAATAAAAATTAAGCCAAACCAAAAATGAGGAATGATTGAGGTGAAGGGTTGAGTAAGATGAGGAAATTAACAGACATTGGGATTACTTTGATAAATTATCTTTGCACGTTGTATCATTTTAAGGATGAGGACCGTGGACCTGGAGTTCATGTGATTGTGCATAAAGAAGACGGAGATGACGATGATGATGATGATAGCCAGACAGATGGAGAGGCTGACGGGGAAGATGATGGGGACCATCAAGAGTAAGTACAAATGTCTTCCATTATCCGCTACAAACAAAAACAATAATAATAATAATCTGGATGTATAAAGCACCTAATACAAAATACCGTCTCTAAAGATCGGTGCAGTTAAAGAGTTAAATAAAGATTTTTTTTGTGATGATGATGATCATTAAAGGGATCCGGTAACTTTGTCTTAGATCCTTTAGAAATAATCCTCGATTTAGCTCATGCTGCAATGATAATTATAAACCTTTAGGTCAATCAGGAACTCCATGACTTTAACAAGCCGATCGTCTGTCTGATTATCAAGATATTAATGATTGGAATTACAAATTTTGGAAAACCGTTCACTGAACGGTTTTCAAAACACTACAGTCTATAGGGGAAAATGAGTATGGTAAAACTGGTCACTCAAAGATTTTTTACTTTTTTGAGGCACTTGATCATTTTGAAGCGCGATTTTTTTAGGGCTTCAATATTACACCATATCACAGACACTGGTAACATGTAGGACCGTGTATCTCAGATTTAACATTGTTAAACGATCCCTTTAATAGTGGACTCTTTCTTCTTTCTTTCCGGTAGTCGCGACTTCTACCACTCTACACCACTCAAGTCCTCCGCCCGAAGATCCCGGAGTCTATCCCCGGCCAAGAATCTCTTTGGCTCTCCTCCCAGACCAAGAAGCAGATCCAGGACCAGTTCTCAACACTCTACCAGACTGGATGGTAGTACCAGGACCAGCATGTCACATCACTCGAGCAGGTCTCGAAGTCTAGGAGCCAGTGGCATTAGTCCATCTAGGCGGGAACTCATGGCGGTCCTACACCATCTAGACCGGATGGCCCATGCCTATCAAGATATCCCGCCTGTCTTTCAGACTCTGCTCATGTCAGTTGCTACACAAACAGAGAGAGGTAGGCCTATTTTATGTTGACTTGGCCACCAAGGATCATTTCAGAAACCTTCACAAGCTCAAGTTCTTGAACCGACTATAAAGACATATTTTATAGAATAAACCTGTTTTTCAATGGAATATTTACAAATTTAGACCTATGGCAGTTTCACATTTCAAAATACTGGCCCCTTGGTTATAAATATATATATTGTAGATAGTATTTTTTTAGACAAATATTTAAATGAAACATTCCTTTTTTTATTTTTAATCTAGATTTAGAAAATTGTTTTCCATAGTATTGCGCATGTTAAAAGTACAAGAAGTAATTTCAGATTGCAAGACAAAAGAAAAGCTTTTATTCTATATCAGTATTAGTTATAAAAGTTAACTTGGGTATGGAAATGTCCACAGAATTTAAGGAATTTCTTCCTACCATATAAAAATATGTACCGGTAATATTGTATTTCATTAAACTAAGTGAAAAGTAACTGCCATTCCCAAATTTATGATACAGGAGTATATTTAAAAGTTTTATGATAATGTAGTTCTGGTGGCAGTTAGGGGTAGTACACAGATACTGTATCTGTGGTAATTTTCTTATAACCTGATGGTTAAGGATGATTCTTCTATTGTCTTTGATCTTCAGTTGCGATTGCAGAGAGTGGTATCATGACTGAAACAGAAGGAAGTGACAGCGGCTCCACGCTGTCAACAGAGGGAGCAATATTCCCTGGTATTCAACCCATCTCACCGAGTAAGTTTGTATAAAAATTTGTCGTAGTTTGGGTGTGGATTTCTATTTTCAACAAAGTTTAGTGATTGATATATATGCAGGTAGTAGTTTCCAGGTCATCATGTTTTTGACATTGTCAAACGGTATCCAACCGGTAGTTATAAAGTCAATTCCCCTTTGCATGTAGCAGTAGATAACAGGTTAATATCTTTGCTCTGCCTCGTTCTCTCTTTTCTGTTTCCACTGTGAGAAGGGAGAAGTTTAACAGAGTCAACAATTTTTTTTCTTCAAATTTGATGAGCCACGTCTCTCAGTTGTACAGATATTATTCTGTAGCCCTGATTCTGAGTAAACCATTATACATTAATACTGTTACGCAATAGGTTTTAGAACAAATTTGAACAAGTTAGGACATATAAAACAAAAAACTTCTGCAAATTCCTTGAATGATTCAAATAATGAGAATTTCATGTGGCAAAATGGATTAATCTCAACTAACTGACACAACACCAACTTTTTGCTATGCACAAAATGTTATTGCTTAGCAAATGGCTATTTTGTATGCCCTGTGAAGTTTTGTCGTATGAGATCTTCTGGTTTGACATTAGTATCTATATTTCTCAGTTTCTTCAAGGAGAGACACTGCAACATCGCCCATCAAGAGCTTGAGTATCTCCAGTCAGACAGGAAGCAAGAAAGCAGCAAGCAGAACCAGAGGATCTAGTCCAGGACCCGTTGGAGTGAATGTTTTAAAGACGAGACTGGGTGCTCTACAACAACAGGTACTGGTTATTGATTATAATAATGATTAGATCAATTTTTATAGTGCAGCTACTATATAAATATACTCTACTGTGCTGTGATGAATACAAAAGCTCCTAACAATACTATTATAAAGACACACGATATAAAAAAACTATTCTAACACTCCTGAAAACGAGTGCGTCTTTAATAAAACTTTGAGGACAGCAACAGATAAGGCTATTTTGTATGTTTAGTGGTAGGTTATTCCGAATTTTTGGTGCAGCACAACTGAATACCAATCTCCGAGATTTACTTTTGTTTTTGTGTGAGGTAGCTTTAGGAGAGGCTTGTCCTGTGTACTGTGATTCTAAGGAGATGATACGGCATTTGCTCCAGCAACAAGCTCTTGTAAAAGATGTAATATTAGGGTAGGGGTTCATATTTGGTCAAGGTTTGAAGGTACAAATCTCTTAGGATATCAACTGACTGAGCAATGGTCGAAAAAGCATGTGTTTTACAAACCTCTGAGAAAGCTCATCAGATACTCATTTACTGTCAGATTCATAAAGTATTTTGTTGACTGTTCTTGAAGATCATTACCAAGTGGCCTGTCAACCTTCTTTCCAGGTTGCGTCTCTTCAGGAGCAGAGACGTATGTTACAGAAGGCTGCTGTAGAGTACAAGGAAACCAATGATGCTCTGCAGTCAGACTTGAATCTTGCCAATGGTAGACACCAGAATTCTAAAATAACTATCCAGGTTAGTGGATTTCAATCTTTTCTATAATATCGTAGCTAAAGCACTATCAAACAATGACAGAGAAATTATCTATTATTTTCTTTAAATTGCATTTTTTCCTGTTTTATACCTTTGAATATATATTACACCCTGTATTACCATTATATCCTATTTATGTTTTATTTTTGTATTTTTCCCTGTTCTATACCTGTTAGCATTATATTGTATTATCATCATATCCATTATCTGTATATATTTTGTATCGTGCATGTTAACAAAACAAATTTCCATGTATGATTTATAGATAATAAAGTATTAATTGAAATGGATGCTGTACAGTATATTAGTTTATACAAATCTGTTAATTTCCAATCTCAGCCCTATAAAGTTATTGAATTTGTTTATTTTCCATTCTTAGAGACTAACACATGATCTGGGCGAAGCTAGGAAGGAGAAGGACCTGCTGCAAGTTGAAAACCAGGAACTAACCAAGCAGAGAACAGATAAACATTCTGATTCCGAGTGGAAAAGCTCTGAGGCTCGTCTCAAGGTTAGGAAGATAGCAGTTTATTTTTCATAATAGTGACCTACATCACAATTATTTGTTGAAGTTATTGAACATGACGATCATTAACATTGATGTGGAAAATCTGAGAGTTAGTGCTTTACGACAGATCACTAGGAAGAGAAATGTTTGTATCATCATAGAAGACTATATAAATTCTTATTTTATAAATATATAATAGTTTTGTCACTATCTGGTTTTTCTTTTCCAAAACCTCCCTCCTCTCTCTCTCTCTCTCTCTCTCTCTCTCTCTTATTCCCCTTAGTGAAATTATAAACTTGTATATATATATTGTATGGTGTTCTGTAGTGGAAATAAAAAATAATAGATGACTATAGTAATAATAATATTGATAGTAGGCATTTCTATAGCACTGTCTATCTAGAAATTCTATTCCGAGACGCACTTATTAATACCCCGGCTTTAGCCTAGCTTTGGCCTAGTAATGGTTCATCTATCATTTACGATATCAATTTATAATAAGATATAAATGGGATTGTGAGAGAAATAAAAAATGATAATATGTGATGATAATTATTGATTCACAAATTTTTCTTTCTTCATAATTCTTTTGATTGTTTAGTATCAGGCTAGCGAGATTGTGAGACAAGGAAGTGTAATCAAGGCCATGAAAACAGAGAAAGAAACACTCCATGAAACCATCAAGAGTTTGGAAAGCAAGTAAGTAGTATATCTTTTGTAGGAAGTATTTGTATTCCACAACATCATAAAGCTACATAATATACACATTTTTAATGAAGCATGTAATTAGGCAGATAGCTTAGATAGATTTTTGGACAATGAATGTATCCACTTGAAAAGACTATTCAGTTTTAATTGTTATTTACCGGCTATTTGAAAAATAAATATGCAAATATGTAAGTAATACTAAACTGTAGATGATAAGCATGTACTGAAATTTATTTATTATGATTAAAAAAGCAATGAAAATATGTCTCCACTTTAAAGGTGTAATCTCAATTTTTCATTTAAAAGAAAACAACCAAACAAGTCTTAGTCTCCACTTTATTTAATAAATTACATGACCCTCTGTAAATAAGTGTATATCTGCATTTCATCTTACTTTATGAACAGAATTCAACATCTTGATCGTGACCTGAGTCAGAAGAGGTCACTGATCGATGACCTCCGAGGGAGAGCCAGGTCGGCGGGTACTAGCGATAAGATGCATGCAGAGACAGTGGTAAGTCACATGATACACATGTTTTTCTTCTTCAAATTTCATTGGCTGTGGAGATGTTTACCATGGTGATGTGGATGTTGTGGATGGCATGGTACATGTCAGTATTGATTGTGCATATGAAAGTTAGGAATTGGATTTAACAAGCCCAGTACAGCGAGAAGAACATCTGAAGGGATGTATATGGTGTATAAAGGCAGTATACATTTGTTTTATATACTTCATTCATTTTGCAGGGATCACTCATAGGATGGCAACAAAATGTTGCATTCTCATACTCAACAACGAGGTTCAATTTACTTTAATACTTTAAGCACTGCGACATGAGTACTGTGTTCATTTTTGCTAGCTGTAAAGAGTACTTTTAGTTGAGATACTATTTACGACTGGGTAGCAGTAAATAGTGCTTTTTGCCAAACAGCGCAGTGTGTTTATTTTCAATCATGTTACACACTTTTAACCAATCAATGAACAAGTTATATGAATGACGTATATAATACAATTTATGTATGAAAGCCAAGGATGTGACAGCATTGATGGCATTATTTCCTATATCATAAGATATGTATGAGCGGAGGTGAGAATATTAATGAAGTACATGTATATATATGATACTGCTATATTATGATGCAATATGATTGATGAGTTTGGCTGTGTAAAGGGATAGTTCAATGCTGATACTGCTTTGGGGTTCAATTCTGTATGATATGATGGTGTATAGTTGGATACAAGATACAAGATTTGAAAGAGGTTCTTTACAGACAGTACGTCTCCTGTAGTATATTTTAGTGCAAAAAACACATCTCTGTACTCCAAAAATAACTTACTTTCAATTGAAGCAGAAAAATCAGACAAACCAATCAAAACAAGTTTGAGCAAACTCTGATAACTAATAAGACAGTTATGAATTTCTAATGACATGAAAAACTTTGGAAATCACAAGACAAATTGGCAACTCACTCACTCACTCACACTGTCCACTAATTGTTTTCTTTATTTTATATTGATAATATAAATTTACCATTTAACCCCTAAGAGCCTTATTGATTGTAATATGTTTTTGTGTGGATACACAAATAAAGAGCCTTTTTTTTCTTCAGTTAAATCATTAAAAATTTGAATTTTTAAAAAACTATTTATATAAAAATCAATCATTATGAATATACAATATTCAGAAAATACTATCAATTCTTCAAAGTTCATAAAAGATTTTGACTAATGCATGCATGCAATATGATACAATTCATATAACCTGGGCAAAAGGCATAGGGAAATCAAGTTTTTAGGGATAAAAAGATAAATTAATGGGATTAAAATATATAAAGCAATTGATAGATAGTGAGGCCATGCCGTCACAAACTGAGAGCCGAATTGGCAATTTGTGTAGTGATTTCCCTTGTTCTATAGTTTGTCATGCTTTTTCAAAAATTCATAACTTCCTTATTATTTTTTTAAATATTTTACTCAAACTTATTTTGTGACGTTTCTCTTGTTTATCTGCATCTATTAAAAACTAATTATTTTTGGAGTGGACTTAGGCTTTATGTCCTAAATGTTATTTACTGTTATCTGTCTTATATTCCACTGAGCAGATATCATCTGTTTGGAGTCAAAAGGGAATTTATTCTTTATAAGAATTATGAGTTAACACCCTTCTAGCACCAAAAAATAAAACAAATCTCACCAATTTGAATTCGTCGGCCAGGTGGCAGAAGGGCGTTAGCGTGAGGGACTCGAAAACTACTTTTCAAATTATTCGCATTTAAAGATTTGTTTTATATTTAAACTGCTTTCCGTCCCGAAAATTGGTTTAAAACAAGTGTTGTAGTGGTTGTAGTAGAACACTGCCACAATTTTTTTCTCTGGAATAAGTCAGTTTTATAAAAGTTTGAGGCGATTTTGTGCTAACGCCCTTCTGCTTAAAGTTTTATTATTGACCTGAAATTCGAGCTAACACCTTTCTGCCAGCTAGGTGACGAATTGATGGCCTTACACACACTCTCTCTGTTGTTGATAGGTCATTGTGTTATTACTCATTGTACAACTAATCATCCTGCTTTTCTTAACTATATTTTCAAGTCTATGTTAGCTACACATTTTATTGAACATGCATGAAAATGTGAAATGTTGGGAAACAGAAAGGGAGGGATAAGCAAGGGAAATAAGTTGAAAGAGAAAAGTAAGCTTTAAAAAAAAAATGAAAATATGGCAAATTTTAAAATATAGTCAGTTCAGAGAATTACTGTAGTATGAGAAAACAAGATTAAAGGTAAGAGATCAAGATGGAGATATAAGGAAAAGAGGAGAGAATTAAAAGGGAACCGATGAGATGAAAGCAGGAATAAGATTAAGTCGGCTTAGGATAGACGTTGGAAAAAATTTATGTTCTTGGTTAATTGAGAATGAGAAGAAAAGGTGAGAAGCATTTGATGACAAGGAGTAATGAAAATGTTTAATATTCAAACAAGCAACATTTTCAAAACACAATCGAGTAACATCATTCAATATCATCACAATCGAACACCATCATTCAGCCACTTTACAATCATGCAACTTCACAATCGAGCAACATCATTTATCAACACCATTTCCTGAAAAATAAGTAGAGTAAGACAAGTATATTTTAGAGTTCAACACTTTATTTTATTACAAACATTTACAAGGTATTTACAAATCATTAGTACAATTGGATAATTACAAATGATATTATCTACATTACGTACGCATGATCTGGCAAGAGGCATAATTTTATATACAACATATAAACAAATTTAGGGAACAAAATCCCTGTCATATGCAAGTATGAACAATAATCAAACAACAAGCAATATAGTATAGCTAAAATAATGTTCAGTTATTGTTTAAATTATAGGCAAGAATTGCATAGCTAAAATTATTATCAGTTTCAATGTTTTGTAAATGAACTAATTAGCATCAAAAAATGTGAAACTTGATGATCAATTACCACCAGATACATAAAAGAATCTGCAAAGGTTATTTACAAAAATAAAGGCAAGAATTTCATAGCTAAAAATGATCAGTTTCAATGTTTAGTGAATAAAACTTATTTAGTGACAAAAAATGTGAAACTTGATTATTTCCACCAGAAACTTGAAAGAACCTGACAAATATTATTTACAAAAAATAAAGGCAAGAATTTCATAGCTGAAAATGTTCAGTTTGGTAGAGTAGAGAAAAATATTACCTAACAGTCAAAAAGTTGAAACTTGATGTAATTAACTCAAGGAACATGAATGAAATTGAACAATATTGAACAAAATGAAGGCAAGAATAGCTTAGCTAAAGTAACGCTAATAAATTAGCTGTGAAATATCAAGATAAATCGAAAAGATTGTTCTAACCCAGTCGTGGCGAAGTCATAAGAAGATCAGGAAGGACGCATCGTAGTGGTCTAACGTCCTGGCGGCGGGCGGTGCGACGCTCGGTGCGGTACCCGTTGACTCGACGTGGCTCAGCGACCATGAGGCTGCGGGAGTATGGAGCTGGGCGAAGCGGGCGAAACTCGGGGCGAAACTCTGAGCTAGTCGGTGCGACGGGCCGGACAGGAGTAGGGTGAAGTGGGCTGACTGGAACGACGGCTGCCTCTACCGCTTGAGTGACGAAGGCGCTGAGTTGGTCTAGGGTGACGACGTTGTCGAGGCAGTCGAGAGGTACAATGCCGTCGAGCTCCTCAACGCTGACAGGTGCTGACGAACTCTTCAGCTTCATCGACGTCTTGGTGTAGATCAGCTCTCGGCGGACGCGTTGTCGGTTCGGGTAGCGGGATGACGGGCAGGGATCGGTGGCGAAAAGGCGACGCACGGGATGCTCAAGCTGGTGGTCGAAGCGGGGGATGAGGACAGCACCGCGTGGACCTCTCTGCAACATGGCTGGCTGGAAGGACGAGACGCCCGGTAGAGTGACAGGCATAGACTGAACGGCCTTGAACCGCTTCGCTGCGTGGACCGCTACGTTGTCGGCTAGGCTTGGGTGCTCTGGCTCTCGTGGACGCTTAGCGAGTCGTTGTCTGGGCGGGGTGATGACGGGGACGGCGCTGGCCTGGGCTGGAGGAGGAACTCTGGCGTTGATGAATGCTGTAACAGAGAAAGAGAAAGAGATAATAAATAAATTACATGTTCAAATTCAGGATTGGAATACACTGCAAGATAGCAATTAAGCAGATAATTAATTGTTTAATTTAACTGTTTAAATTCAGGGTATACATATTTTTTTTTTTATAGCATTATCTACATAAAAGAAGATAAATAGAACATTTAGTTTGGGTAAAGCAGTTCTTTGCTAAAAATAAAAGTGGATTTATGCGAGGTTCTAAACTTACGATTCATGTGAACAACGACGCCTTTGAACCTCTTGCTGCCATCATGCCGCTTGACCAGAACGTGAGAACCGATGTTGAGCTTCTTGCTACGGTGGACTAGGTCTTGTTCGAGTACAGCGAAAACCCTCCCTGAGGATGGACCGGAGCACATCATGACGGAGACATAGTGAGCGGGAGCGGCAGTGACGGACGGAGCCATGTTGGATGATATAGTAAGCTGGAAGTTCTGAGCAGCCGACGAAGTTGAAGCAATGATGACGTAAACGAAGCGTGGCGAAGCGAGATGAGTAAACGATGTGTAGCGAAGCGAGATGAGTATACGATGCGTTGCGAAGCGAGATGAGTAACAAACGATAATGGATATGAGATTATCCTGGATGAGCGCGCCCATTTATTGGCTTAGTTCATTAGCCAGCGCACCAGCGGTCAGGTGATAGGGTGCGCGCTGATTGGCTGTAGGAGATTAAAGCTCTAATGCCGCGGTCCAATCGCCGAGCGCCCAACCGGCTATTGGCTAATCCTCCGGTAACAATAGCCCGGACGCCATAGCGGGGTTTGTCGGAGTTTAACAGTTTATTGACTAACGTGGACAATGGGTTCTGTGAAAGAAGTTTCAGAGATGGATTAATAAAAGGCAATGATCTGTTTCCTATCATAATTATGAATGATTATGGAAAGATAATGATTTGATTGATCTAATATATTTCACTGCCATATATTAGTTATCCCGTTTCGCGGTTGATGTACACATTTTGTCTGAGTCGTTTAACTTTCCTTGATGATCGTGAAAAAGTAATGAACTGATCAATCTTAGGCTTATAGTATTAACCTCTGTTATTTAGTTTCTATCGAATATTCAAATTTGTTTGAAATCCTATACCTTTGCTCTATTGAATCAATGCATTTGTATGTTAGATTGATTGAGGAAAACGGTCATTACATTTTAGTTTTAATGTATCATAAATATATTTACTTTCCTTGTATTGAAAATATTTTGTTGTTTACGAATTTTATATATAAAAAGAACTTGTTATAGATAGAAACCGGGACAACGTATCCAGCCCGAATATCAGAGTATAATATAATTATGCTTACGAATGTTAAGCAAGATTATAAAAAGATTATATAAGTTTTTGGACTTGCAATACAGTGAAAAAGGCCATGTGTTAAGCATAACATCCTTTCTGATTGTCTTCGTTTTTATGCAATTTCCAACTTATTGAAGATTTGCAATGCGTTATTGCTCTAAAGAATTAAACCCCTCCAAGGAATACAAATTCAATAATTACATGTATCTGTGTTTGTAAAGGGAAGAGAGTATACGAATCACATTTATATTGGTATGGTGAGATTTCATCATGGTTCAATAGTTTATGCAAGTATGATTTTGTAAAAGAACGAAGATGCTGTTCATCGGAATTTAAATACTTATTACATTTCGTTAATATTCTACCTTTATTTAGATGAAGTAACGTTTTTAATGATTGACTGGAAAAACTAACGGTAGATTTTGTTAAAGGCCTTTATAACAACGAGCGGAAAATAATGTGAAAAGAGATTGAAGGCGAATGGCCGCCATTTTAACGCAATTTCTATTATGGCTCTATTATCTTTTCCCGGGTAATGATCGTAGAGGAAACGGCCCTTTAATCCTCTTCCACCGGCCCCGTTAGGCGGGGATTAACGTAGCGGTTCTGGCCAGCGGATACATGGACCCTGAAAGGCGTCAGACTAGAAAATTAAAAGTGACGTTGTCATAGATGGATAAAGATATCCCATTCTAAATGTAATCATGCTCAAGATCTGCTCTTTTTAAGACCGGGCCCCGGTATTCATGTGATCATGTCATCTGTTTGTTTGTATTATTCCATCATAATACTGAGGTTTTTGTTATTGATTTTAAAAGTTTGTAATTTTGCAAGTAGACTTAGTACATCTTATCAATCCGTAGAATGTTAGATACTTAGATTAATTTCACAAAAATGATTACCAACATTTTTTTATACTTATGTAATTCTTTATTAATGAAGTCTCATAATTATTGATGTAAGTGTATACTCGTTGTTGATTTATAGGCACCTTATTGTCGTTTACGGGTAGGGGGGGGGGGGGCTGACGTATATATCCAGCTCACGTATGCCATATGAATTCATCCATTAATGGATAAAAAGGATTCCAAAAATTTCTAACCCAAATTAATTATTATATTTTTCCAATTAAAAATCTATGCTCACTTTTACAAGAACGTAAAGTGCTGTTTTAGTTTTTAAAAAAAAAAATAAACAAATCAAATGCTTCCAAGGCCAGCCCCGAAAGTTATAATTCTGCAGTTAGACGCAATACATCTTATTTAATTGCCTAATGTCAGATAAATTTACCAACATTAATCTTTGTGTATTAATATTAATGTCACTCCTTTTCTAAATTGAACAAGTGAAGCCAGGCTGTGAAATTCGATCCATTGCTGAGTGAAAAATGTATTGTGTCATCTAAATACACTTGATAAGATTTTTATAATCTACAAATAGACCACTTTGTCTGAATGTGATGTGACAGTTATTGTTAAAAATTCTAAAATCACTTGGTGCTGCCGCCCTCTTTAAGTTCCCCCGCAGACTTTGCTTAAGAAATCGACTTAAAATATGATTGAATTTCATTCTGTGTGATTTGTTAATATTCGAAGCCCTTTTATGTTATGCTTTAGTATTGATAAAAAGGATTTAAACATAAACTATCCTGTTTGAATCAATTTTTGTTTAAATCGAATTATTCAATTATTCTCACTTTTCTGAGAACTTGGAGGGATCTTTTATAAATGAGATAAACAATTAAAATACTTTAATGGCACACGAAAATGTATGTAATTTCATTGTCTGTTTATATATATTTCTTTCTTGGTACATCGTGCTCGAATATACGCTGACAAAATAATGAATGGCAAAATATGGAAAACAGGTTGATTTTCTTAGTCTCCCCCGTATATCATTTGAAGAGATAACGTATGATGTATTTTATTATGACATAAATACAGGTATTGCTTATTTTTGTCATGCCCCAATAACCTATTGTTCATAAACTTGTTCATTAACTCCTACACATAGTTATGTACGAATATTTAATCATAATTGTGCAACTCAATCGTAAGAACTAAGGGCTTTAGGATTATTTTTTTAAATAGTTTTTTAAACACGATAAATATTATACCCATCCTCTTATTCCTGTCTTGTGTTTTTTTTTTCTTCTTATGTTTACCTTGATGTTTTTTGTGTTATGTTATCGGTTTTACAGTTTTACTCGTATGCTTGTTGTCGTCCTAGTTGAATATCTACAATCAACTGTCTTATTGCTTGTTTGTTTTGTACTTTAATCTGTTAGATATTTATTTGTTTGACTATACATGTACATATTCATTGCCTTACTTCTTGCATTTGCAACGTTTTACATATTATTGTATAATTCACTGTATATTTATTGTTATTTTTATATTTGTGGACCCCTTTGAAAATCAGCTGTGCTGAAAGGGCCATCCACCCTATGAGAGGAAATGAATAAATAAATAAAAAATAAATAAATAAATAAAATCATGATTATCTCTTCACTTTTCATTAATTACCAGTTTCTACATTTGCTTCATGAAAAAAATCTTACTCGAAAACCTGTATAGATCATTGGTACTCTGTAAGCCTACTTCTCATTTAATCTCCATACAGAATTTTCACCTTTGTAACCATCCCTTTAGCGGCACGAGTTAAAAGCCTTCGCCCTGATTGGCTGGGCAATGATTAAAGCTCTAATACCGCGGTCAAATCAGAGAGCCCCCACCCGGCTAATCCTACGGTAACAATAGCGTGAAAGAGCCGAGCGATGGCCGGATGCCATCTCCGGTTTTGTCTAAGTTTAACAATAGATTAACGTGGACAATGGGTACTGAGTTGGAAATTTCCGAGATGGATTATAATAAAGCAATTATCTGAAATCCTATCATATGAATGATTGTGGAAAAAGTAATGATTTGATTGATCTAATAGTATTACACTTCCATATTAGTTATCCCGTTTCTCCCTTTTGTTCAAAATTGGTCTAAGTCCTCCACCTTTCCTTGATGCAATCAACGAATTCGTTATTATCAGAGATTTGATCAGTTATAGTTAATTAAGAATGTTTGCGAAAAAACGGAATTACCTGATTTAATACTAATAGTATTACACTTTGTTATTTGGTTTATATCAGTATAAAGTTATAGTTTTAACTAAATATTGTAACTTATGTACGTAGTCGTATGCCATGTTGATTATGACAACTGATTGCTACAATTCATTTTGATGTATCATAATCATAATTATCTGAATTCCCCTTCACTTAAAATATATGTTTTCTACCCAAGTCTTTATTCCCAAAAGAACTTGTTATATCAACGTATGACCATGGTCAGGACATTTCAAAATATAACAAATGCCTAATACACCTGTTAAAGATTTTTATGAAAATACAAGGTTCATGACTCTTAATAGAGTGAGTTAAGCCAGGTGTTAAGCAATACATATAATGTGAGTTGGTTATTCATTCTTTCAGTAAAACAGTTTTACATTAATGCTCTAAAGAATTGAACCCCGTCATGCAGGGTTTGAAATGACAATAATTAGATTTCTCTGTGTTGGAGAAGGGCATGGTCATTGGTGTATATTATTTAGTAACAAAATAAATTCGACATGGTGAGATTTCATTATGATTCAATGGTTTATGCAAGTATGATTTTGTAGAAAAACAAAGATGCTGTTCATCAAAATTAAAATGGTTAATTACATGTTTGTAGTTCATTTCTTTAATCTTCTCAATGCATTTAGATGAAGTAATGTTTGCAATGATTGACTGGAAAAACTAACGGTAGATTTCAATAGCCTTTATAACTTGTATAACCTTAATATTTTAAATGCGACCACTAATACCATTAATTCCAATTTTTATTAATTAGATTTTTCATTCTTTTAACTAGTGATTTTGATGATGTTATAATAAAAGATTGACTGGAAAACTAATGGTAGATTTTGTTTCCGGCTTTATTACTAACGAGCGGAAATGCGGAAAGAGATTGAGGGCAAATGACCGCCATTTTAACGCAATTTCTATTATTCCTTTATTATGTTTCTCCGAGTAATGATCGAAGAGGAAACGGCCCTTTAATCCTCTTCCACCGGGCCCGTTAGGCGGGGATTAGTGTAGCGGTTCTGGCAAGCGGTTCATCGACCATGTCATAGATGGATAAATACATCCCATTCTAAATCTAATCATGATCAAAAGTTTTGCTTTTTTGAAGACAGCGCCCCGGTATCCACGTCTTCTGTTTGTATCATTTCATCATAATATTTTTTTGTTTTTTTGTTGATTTATA